ATGTTCCGTGTGAAAGACAAAATCTTTTTTTGGCAGAACAGAAATTCATTACTCATCACCAAATGAAATTGTTAATATTTTTTTTTTTGAAAATTTTTAATGCAACGCAATAATCGAGATTTTTCTATTAATTTTCTTTTTTAACAATTTCACAAAATTTCATCAACTTTACATTATTTTTCACAGATTTTCTCTTAACTCCACAAGATATTGCTTCAAATTTCCAGTCGAAGTCAATACATATATATGTATGCGTAGATTTTTCTTTGCTTCCAAAAATTTTCTTTGTTTGTTTCGCAATACAAAAACAACAACACAAGAATTATATTGCTTTTCACCGCCGAGTTGTGTATGGACGCACGGAAAATCCACTTGAACCGCTCACGTAGTAGCTCTTACCGCAACTGATCGCACATTTGAAAAAGAAACGAAATTTTCAAAAAGAATTTTCCTTTTTCCCCAAAAATTTCTTATCCAAGAGATTGGAAGCAAGCCATCTGCCTATGGAGAGAGAGTGAATGAGAACAAAGAGAGTATATTGGCAAAATTATGAAATTTCTCAATTTTGAAGTTTCCATTTTGAAAATCCCTCAAAAATGTGCATGGATGCTGCCGCTGATGAGATTTCTACATGACACTCATGTGGAAAATTTTAGAAGGGAAAAATTAAAATTAATTTTTTTTTAATTAATTTACTAAAGTTAAAGAAACGGAAAATGCTGTTGTGGTCTTATTTTTATACCCTACACTCATAGTGATAAGGGTATCATGTCTTTGTGCATTTGTTTGTAACAGGGAGAAGGAAGCGAGATAGACCCATAGTTATTTTGAGGATCTTCATAGAATTACTTTCTGAGTCGATTTATGTCCGTCTGTTCATCCGTCCGTCCGTCCATATATACTTGTGAACAAAATGCAGGTCGCGTTTATTATCCGATTGAGATGGCATTTTTTTGTTTGGCACAAGGACTAACCTTATTGAAATTGGTGATAATCGGATCAAATTTAGATTTAACTCCCATTAATCTTCAACCGATTTAAGGTTAATTGTGTCGCAAATGGATAATAGAAGTCCTAATGATCTGATTTTTGGTACACCCCACCGAATCCAATCTGGAAGCAAGTACAATAAATTTAGAGAAAATCGGTTCAGATATAGCTATAGCTCCCATTTATAAGTTTCATCCGATTTGGTTCACATTCATTCGTAATATGCATTCGACAACAATGGTATTTGGTACCAGATATCTTATAAAGCTCGGAAATACCTCTGCCAAATTTTATCAAGATTGGATCAGGTTTGGATGTAGCTCCTATATTTCAGGTTAATTTTGCATCAAATAGCCAATGTCTGTCCAAATTACCTGAATTTTGGCATATCCGACCGAATTCAGTCTAGAAGCAAGCTCCCATATGCCAAATTTTATCGAGATCGACTCAGCTTTGGATAAATAAATTTCTATGTTATGGGAGATCATAAAGTCGGCCCCGCCCGACTTTTGACTTTTCTTTACAGGTTTTTCAGAGTTTCCTGAGTAATTCAAATGATAAAAATATACAAATCCGAAATGGCGAAATAAATATATTTTTATAATAAATGCAGCATACGTTAAGGCGGAAATTATATTTCAATCTGTAAGACATACAATAGAATAAGTTGGAAAGTTTCAGCCGGTGTTTCGACAGATGATAACTTGTTTATGAATACCCTTTTCAGGGGGACGTTCCAGAAGTTTGAGCCCTACGAGATTTGAAAAGAACTGGGGAATAAATTTGCATTTTATTGAATTAATAAATATTATTTATTATATTGATGCAAGATCTAATGCTGTTTACTTGAGACATGCGAAGTTTTCATATTTAACTAGAATTATTATAAATTGGTAGTGGACCTCAATTTCACACTTATTATACCCTCAGCCACATGGCTACAGAAGGTAGATATTATTTGAAAAGGCCAAAACGGTTTTAGACCCTAGGACCATTTGGGCCAAATCCGTTTCAGGACGTTTGGAGTCGATCTTATCGTGTCTGTCCGTACGAATGATTGTATGACTGGCTGGTACGCAGGATAACTCACAAAGAAAGTATCCGACTTGATCCAAACATGGTAAATTCTAATATGATTGTCAAACTTAGATCGAGTTCGGAGATTGGCAATATCGGGCACTAGCATTTTTTAAAATAATATTTTACAACACAGAAAGCGAAAGGATAATCCGATTTTGCTCCATTTTTGCAAAAGTCTAATATTTGCATCAGTGCTAGGTCATATCTAAATATATGTGTCTCAACCAGACACCTGAGATGAATATGGAATTTGTGATTTCGTAATTTTGCCCACACCAGTATTTTTATCTGTATTGGTTGATGAATGAATATTGAATACTTCGGTCGACTATATCTGGTACCACACGGACATTTTAAACATTTTCTAAAAAATATCACATATCTCATATACAGTGAAGGAAGTTACCAATATAGTCCAAACCTGTCACGTCGCGATATTAATATCATATTAATTTAGGTCCGATACGAAATGGACAATATTGGCCCATTCCTTCGAACCCCACTCCATAGAGGGTCAACAATTTGAGTAATCATAACAGAAGTCAAAATATATTTAAATAATCGAACTGTGGCTGAGGGCATATATCTGTCGGCAAAACCTACTGAAACTTTTTAAGTTGTTTTTTTTTTTTAATTTTAACCCCTTTATGGGGGAGGTACATGGTGGAGTGGGCCGATATAATTTGTTTTCGAAACTGACTGATGAAAATATTGATATGTGCACAAAATCAAATGATTCTTTCTACTTCTTTAAAAATGTAGACTTTTTGTTGGGAAGGTATAAGAAGGAGTGGACCAATGTTGCCAATCTCACAATTCGATCTAAGTTTGACAACGATATACCAAGTTTGGACCAAATGGGGTATTCCCTTCGAGGGTTATCGTGTGCACCATCCATCAAGACAGACGGACGGATCGATACCTTAGATCCATTCCAAATATCCTGAAATGGATTTTTTTCCAAAGAGACAAAGGGTCTAAAACCGTTTTTCGCCGAGGTACATTTTGGCCGAATCAAATGATACAGGGTGAGATGAAAAACTTCAACCAATTTCAGACTGCAGACATTTCCAAGCCACTCGTCCGACAGATTTTAAAATTATACCAGTGATGGCTCATTATATTGTTTACAAGCGTACAAAAGCAATTTGGTGAGAATTTTCCAGAAAAAAAGTTATTCGTGATGGAATTCAAGCGGGATAATGTGATTTCTTTATATTTGGCTGGAAAACCACAAGTGGCTATCGTTAGAGGACTCCAGCATTTGAATGTGAATAGATCTTCTGTGTCTCGTCAAGGAAGTGGACGGAAGAAAACAGCAACATCAGCAGAAATGGTTCTAATTGATCGAAACCCGCGTCGCATTGGCCGAAAAATGGCTCGTAATTTGAACACATCGCAATATTCCATTCCGCAAATATTGAAAAATGAGCTCGGGGTAAAGCCATTGAAATTGCCCAAAGAGTGCAAGAACTTACACCGCAACCGAAAAAAAAGACTCAAAATAGCTAAAGAGTTGCTTCGCTTGGCCGAATGTGGTGAACTGCCGAATTTGGTTTTCTCCGATGAGAAAACATTCGTTGCCCAGCAGTTTGTAAACAAACAAAATGATCGTGTTTACTTGCCAAAGAGGTCAGCTGTAAATGTGAACCTTCGGTTGGCCAACAGAACTCAAGCCTTGGGCACGCAAAAATTTTGGCCGCAGACCTTGGACATTCCAACAGGACTCAGCACCATCGCACTCAGCACGCGCCAATGAGGTTCCTCGCTTCATTTCCAGCTCACAATTGTTACCAAAATCTCCGGATACCAATCCGTTGGACTATTGTATCTGGAGTATTTTGGATAGCAAGGTTGGCACTAAAAAATACCAAAGTGTCGGTCACCACAAGCAAGCGCTTCGTCGGGAATGGGCCATAATAGCGCAGAGCAACACTCGGGCAACGTGTGACGGTTTCATTGGCCGTTTGAAGGCCATAATTCGTGCCAAAGGTGACCGATTCGAGCAAATGTAAACTTTTTCTAAAATTTGATGCTATTTCCCACATTTTTTGCTTTCATTCAATAAAATTTAAAAATTATGGCGTGTGACTTTGTTGTAGGTTTTTTTTATCTCACCATGTATATACCCTCTGTAACCATATGGCTGAGGGGAATAAACATTTAAATGCGGTGTCAAAATAAGCAGCAGCTTACTGAGGAAAAGGTTTTTAATAAATATTTTCGAAATTTTCAATGTCGTATCATACGGTTTGCATATTTTTCCAGATCCTAGTTCATTTTCGAATGATACGGTTTGCATCCTTTTCCAGATTCCAATTCCCATGCATAAAGTATGTCAGGATGAAAATAATGCATTTTAGATGAGAAAGTCGTGTAAAAGATGTAACTTACCTTATTGAACTTCCTTCCGCCCATAGAATTTTCATTTTTGAAAAATTTCCCTTTTGTTTATGTACTAAGAGGTTACGAAAATTTTCCACCACAACCACATTTTTTAAAAAAGAAAATAAAAATTTGAAAAATTGTCTAGGAATGTCCATTTGTCGCATTTTGTCCAGACAGCAGTCGGTTGTAAAATTCTGTTCAGAAAAACAACCCACTCCCCCACCTACATTTTTAGCCACTTACCTGATATTACCAATACCTGGGGGTAAAAATATAGAAAAACATAAAAAATGGAAAATATTTTTTTCATTTTTTTGGCGCACACGCAACGAACCGACACGCACATAAAACATCCAAGTGACAGACAGTTGGTTGATTCATCAAATGCCATTTCTTTAGAGCCCGTCAAGAGGCGACCAACAACACATTTCGAATCGATGAAATGACTATGACTGGTCAGAATTTTTATTTTTTTGGACCTCTGCCAAGTTTTATTCGGATACAAAGAGCCCCGCGTTAAGAAAAGAAAAAATACATTTTTTTGGTTTTGCATTTTTAAAAAAAGTTAATTAATTTTAATAACAAATTAAATTAGTTTACAATAATTATTGGTTTTGTTCGTTTAGTTTAGTGAGGTGGTGACACTTTTACATTTCGTATTGCCGCTGATGGTCTGACGCAACCAGTCGCGATAATATAAGATATTGGTGAAAACATCGGGATAACCATCGGCACAGGGATAGGACCAGGCATGGATGCCGACCAGGGTGTTTTGATAGACCAAGGGACCACCATTGTCGCCATGACAGGCACCCTGATAACGTTTGACAAAGGCACACAGATGGCCCACATCCAAATGCAGGTCATCGAATTCCTCGAGCATTTTGGAGCATTCTCCATTGGTCACCTGGAACATTTGTAGTTTTTGTAATTTCTCGGGATGTGGATCCCACAGAGAGATCAAACCCCATCCGGTGAGAAGCAAAGGATCGGTAGTATTTAATAACACCCGGGGCAAGGAAATGGGTTTAACTCGGTCATTCCATTCAATTGTGTTATTCACATGCAGCAGGGCAATGTCATTGTGATATTTCGGATGATCGTAGTTACAGTGCAGGTGGATGCGATCCAAATGATAGATAGCCAATGGTTCCGTATACAAATTGGAGCCGACAGCAATGCGTAGAAATTCCGGTGGCCATCCGGTGACGCAATGGGCCGCTGTTATTATCCATTCCTTGTCGATAATGGCCCCACCACACAAATGTGAACCGGGTATGGTTTGTAGAGAGACTTGATATGGTGCCAAACCTTCCTCGGCGACTTGTCCTCCTATAATACGTCCATTTGGATAACGTTGGGCGGCATGACCTGTGCTGGCGGAGTTTAACAGAAATAGCAGTAGACCAAGTTTACGGTAGTCCATGCTGGGAGAAACTAACGGCACACTTAAACAAATTTATTTCCGTGGCGTTCTTTTTTATTTCCAGAGACTTGGATATCTTTATTATGGCGAAATATAATAAAAAAGAGTCTTAATTTATCGTATTTTATGAGCGATACAAAATTTAAGATATTGGCCATATGGTTGCGCCAAGTTGGGTACGACTACACTGGATAACATTTTTTAGGGTTACAATGCCCGAAGAATTTTAATAGAAATTTTTAATTTATTTGGGTCAAGACAGATAGAGTAAGAGAGAGAGAGAGTAAGAGAGAGAGAGAGAGAGAGTCAGAGAGAAAAAGATATACAGAGGGAGAGGAAATGCATTTTAGAAAATGCTCGCTCGAATTCGAGTAGATTAATCGCTCGTTTTGGTGTGGAGCACCCCTGTGAGTAGAAATAAAATCGAGAATACTCTATTTCTTAATGTGATTCGAATTAGATCGACAATGCTTTGCTCCTTTTCAAGTGGGAATAAAATTAGGTCGAAGACAACAGTCTTCAGAAAATTAGTTTAAAAAGGAACCCCGAAGACCATGGAAGGGTGAGCGAATGCGGGGGTAGAAACATCTTGTTTGAGCAGGTGTTGTGTAGTGTATTGTAGTTGTGATGTGTAAAGTTCCAATTTCGTGTTCGTCCTGAGGTGTTACAAAGTGACGGTTGAGAACTAGACCCCGAGACCGCTAGCAGCCGGATGGTCACTTTTTACGTAACAGATGGTGAGATGAAAAAACTGCAACCAATTTCAGACTGCTATCATTTCTAAGCCACTCTTCCGACAGCTGTTAAAATTATTCCACTGACAGCTCATTCTATGGTTTACAAACGTACAAAAGCATTTTGGTGAGGATTTTCCAGAAAATAAGTTATTCGTGATGGAATTCAAGCGTGATAGTGTGGTTTCTTTATATTTGGCTGGAAAACCACAAGTGGCTATTGTTAGATCACTCCAGCATTTAAATGTGAATAAATCTTTTGTGTCTCGCAGCATCGCTCGTTACCGTGATACTGGTAGCGTAGCCCGACGCCAAGGAAGTGGACGGAAGAAAATAGCAACATCAGCAGAAAAGAAAGAAAAAGTTCGAAATGTGAAGGAGCGACTTGATCGAAACCCCCGTCGCAGTGGCCGAAAAATGGGCCCGTGAGCTGAACATATCGCAATATTCCATTCGGCAAATATTGAAAAATGAGCTCGGAGTAAAGCCATTGAAATTCCAAAAAGTGCAAAAAACTTACACCGTAACAGAAAGAAAATAGACTCAAAAGAGCAAAAGAGTTGCTTCGCTTGGCCAAAATTGGTAAACTGCCGAATTTGGTTTTCTTCGATGAGAAAACATTCGTTGTCCAGCAGTTTGTAAACAAACAAAATTATTGTGTTAACTTGCCAAAGAGGTCAGCTGAAAATTTCCACCTTCGGTTGGCCACCAGAACTCAAGCGCCGGCCACGGTGATGGTGTGGGCCACCGGCCATAACAGCCGATGGTCGCTTCCCGCTAGTATTAATCGACCGTGGCATCAGAATAAATGCCGAGCATTATCGCGAAAATATTCTAGAGAGTGTATTTAAGCTCTGGGCACGCAAACATTTTGGTCGCAGACCTTGGACATTCCAACAGGACTCAGCACCATCGCACTCAGCACGTGCCACCCAAGAATGGTCACAAAATGAGGTTCCTCGCTTCATTTTCAGTGCACAATGGCCACAAAAATCTCCGGATACCAATCCGTTGGAGTATTTGGAAAAGCAAGGTTGGCACTAAAAAATACCAAAGTGTCGACCACCTCAAGCAGACGCAGGGAATGGACCAAAACACCGCAGAGCAACATTTGGGCAGAGTGTGACGGTTTCATTGACCGTTTGAAGGCCATAATTCGTGCCAAAGGTGACCAATTCGAACAAATCTAAACTTATTCTAAAATTTGATGGTATTTCCGACATATTTTGCTTTCATTCAACAAAATTAAAATAAGTAAAAATTATGGCGTTTTGACTTTGTTGCACTTTTTTTTATCTCACCCTGTAAACCAACAGCGAATCGCGTCGCATAGTAAAAACGAAATCTAGAGTAGTAACGTAGTGGTACCCGTTCACCGTGGCATAACCTGACTAACTGACCTTCGAGCTCCGCTACGAGTTCCCGATTATATACTTCTCGTACACGACCAGTACATGTGGCAACCGATCGCCGTCGCATATCGTCCACATACTTGATTTGACATACTTACATCATTTTTCTCTATTATCTACAAATCAACCGTCATAAATATCGATTCCCCGATCATCAATTGCAACTGGACCGACAACCTACTAAATCCATATTATCAAGTAAATTGTAATTTAGTATTGAAATCAATAAAACACCAAGTCTCCAGTTAACTATGGACCGAACACCCATATTACAAACAATCCGACATCATCATCATCATAGCGGTACCTGGACACCCGGACATCGTGACTCACCAGAGTTCACGATTATGTTCAAATCTTTTGCGACCTGATCAACGTCATCGTTATTCTCGACTGATATCGTCAACCTTAGATTACCAAACGGATTTTCTTTCGAAAAAGGTCCGACTTATGTACAAAAGTCTGCTTAAATTTTACAAATTCATTCAGATATTACGTACGAAATTTGCTCAATTTTATTCGGTCTGAAATTGAGACGTTAGTTCTTGGACCCTTTTTCCAAAATTTCAAATAAATATCTTTGAGAGTTCGGTTTTAATGTCGGGACAACAACTTCATATTTTCATCCGACTCTTCGGTCTGAGAACACACCAACCACTGCACATAAATTTCAGACCGAAATTCATCCGAAAACGAAAGTTTCATTCGACTTTCGGCTCAAAGTCGGACCGAAATAGGGTCTTTTGGTTCGCTGCTTTGATTTAAAATCGATCAAAACAGATATGATTATAAAAATAATTAGAAATTTAATATGAGACGCTGCATAAATAATGATTTTGAAAATAGGGTTTTTTAAAATTTTTTTTTTACTAAATTAGAGGCCTAAGTGAAAGGTGCCAGGGCGAATCTATGGTGACTGTCTCTAAAAAATATTCAAGGTTATTATACCTAATCCTTAAAAAAAATGTTGTATAGATTGCTCCTGAAGAATAGTCTTAAAAGAAACACAGTCCATGCCGTGATATCCCTTCAAAAATATTCAGTAAAAATCCAAGATTTTGTGCGGACAGTCCTTAAAAAATTTTGCTTAAAAATCTACTACCAGGTCCACGATAGTCATTGAAGAAATATTCTTTTAAAAATCCACAATTTTTCATTGTCCTTGAAAAAATAATATTTAAAAAAAATCCACGATAGTCCTTGAAAAAATAATATTTAAAAAATGGACGAAAAATATTCTTTAAAAATAGTCCTTGAAAATTATTCTTTAAAAAATCCGCGATAGTCCTTAAAACATAATATTTAAAAAGTCGACCAAAAATATTCTTTAAAAAAATAGTCCTTGAAAAATATTCTTTAAAAATACAAGATAGTCTTTAAAAAATATTTTTCATAAATCCACGATTGTTGCTCTGAAAGTCCTTAAAAAAATTTTTCATAAATCCACAATTGTTGCTCTGAAAGTCCTTGAAAAATATTCTTTAAAAAACCCACGATTATTGTTCTGAAAGTCCCTGAAAAATATTCCTTAAAAAATCCGCGATTGTTGCCCCGAAAGTCCTTGATAAATATTCTTTAAAAACCCAGGATGTTGTTCTGAAACTCCTTGAAAAATATTTTTTAGAAAATCCACGATTGTTGCTCCGAAAGTCCTTAAAAGTATTCTTTAAAAATCCTCGATTGTTGCTCTGAAAGTCCTTGAAAAATATTCTTTAAACAATCCACGATTCCTGTGGCTATAGTCGTTGAAAAATAATATTTAAAAAATCCACGATTCCTGTGGCTATAGTCGTTGAAAAATAATATTCAAAAAATCCACGATTCCTGTGGCTATAGTCGTTCAAAAATATTCTTTAAAAATCCACGATTGTTGCTCTGAAAGTCCTTGAAAAATATTCTTTAAAAATCCACGATTGTTGCACTGAAAGTCCTTGAAAAATATTCTTCAAAAAATCCACGATTCCTGTGGCTATAGTCCTTGAAAAATATACTTTAAAAAATCTACCATTCCTGTGGCTATAGTCCTTGAAAAATATTATTTTAAAAATCCACGATTATTGTCCTGAAAGTCCTGGAAAAATATTCTTTAAAAAATCCACAATTCCTGTGGCTATAGTGCTTGAAAAATATTCTTTAAAAAATCCACGATTCCTAAGGCTAGAGTCCCTGAAAAATATTCTTTAAAAAATCCACGATTCCTGTGGCTATAGTCCTTAAAAATATTTTTTAAAAATATGGCTATAGTCCTTGAAAAATATTCTTTAAAAAATTTACGATTCCTGTGGCTATAGTTCTTGAAAAATATTATTTAAAAAATCTACGATTCCTGTGGCTATAGTCCTTGAAAAATATTCTTTAAAAAATCCACGATTCCTGTGGCTATAGTCCATGAAAAATATTCTTTAAAAAATCTACGATTCCTGCGGCTATAGTCCTTCTAGTCCTTTAAAAAAAATATATATTTTTTTAATTTCTTATAAGTAAAAATTTATTTACATCATATCAGTTTGTTCACATAAATCACATATCCTTATTAACTTAATATACATTTATATATTTACAAACATACACACATACATATCTCAACACCTCGAATTACCGCTCATTTTTGTGCGAATCCAATCGTGATAAAACAAAGGACTTGCATGCATATCCGGGAAACCAATGGCACAGGGCATACCCCAGTTGACCAGACCCACCAAATAACCATCACTGACCAAAGGACCTCCCGAGTCACCATGACATGAACCCTCTCCGGCTTTGGTAAAGGTACACATATGGCCAACATCGACATCTGGATCATCATTCATGGCCTCCCTGCAGCGACTGTGTTCCATGTATTTCAAGTTGACCTTTTTCAAAAGATCCGGTGAATCACCCCATAAGTACTCGGAACCCCAACCGGTTAACAACACATCGGCGCCATCTTCCATGGGTTTGGTGGGTAGAGGCACGGCTTGCGTCTTTTCATTGAACACAATACTGGTGTTGACATGCAATATGGCAATATCGTTGTGCATGCTTGGCCTGTCGTAGTTGCAGTGCCAATGTACCTGATCCACATGGTAGAGGGGACCAGGCTTTTCCAAATTCTGACTTCCTGTCATTATCAAAATATCTTCCTTATATTTGTTGATGACACAATGGGCTGCAGTTAAAACCCAGTCCTTGTCAATAATGGCTCCACCACAAAAATGACCCCACTCGGTCTGCAGTGACACCTGATAGGGGGCCAAACCATCCTCGGCGGTACTGCCACCCACCACACGGCCAGCTTGATTTCTCTCAAAACCTGGAAATGGTTTCAGCCGCTTGCCACTGCCGGCTCTTGGTCCTGCCACCAAAATGGCCAAGACCACCAACGAAACACCTTCGACGATCTTCATCTTTGGAAATATTCGACTCAATTGCTAGTGGTTACGAAACGTTCAATCATTTTATGTTTTTCTGGTATTGAATGTTCCTGATTTTTAGTTCGTTGTTTTTCGATTTTTATCGTAAACGATTTGGATTTGATAAAACACGAAATGAATAGCTTTCTGACCAGCCAGTCAGCATTGATTGGTGGGCTATTGGTTATCGTTACAGTAAATAATATAAAAAACATTTATAAGCTTTCCTATGCCAGATTAGACAAGAATTTCATATGGCTTGTCGCCCATAGGTTGTGAATCCACACAGAGATTGATATCAAAAACCCTAGAATTTTGTTTTCAATGAATCAACTAAAAATGTCTGTTGTCAATATTTTCTTATTAAAGACCAAAAATTCAAATGAAATTTAAAATACGATTTATGGAATCAACCATTGTTTCAAATATAAATATTAGCAATATTATCAGTCCGATAGGAATATATCAAATTAGTCTAGTTGGAGATAATTAATTTGAATTGTTTACTATCAAGAAAGCGGAAACAAGTTGTTTTTTTTTTTCAGAAAAATATTACGCGTTAAAAAAAAACAGACGGGTTGAAAAGACTCTTCATAGTTAGGGAGCTAAGGGAGTCTTTTTAGAGGAGTTAAAAATGTCCTGGGGCTGGATTCTTGTTTTATGAAAATGCAGGCGAGCTGTGAAGCCGCGGGTGGTTACATAGGGAGACTTAACTTGGAGCATAAGGGAGACTTAATAGACGATTCTTGTGGCGATAGTCCTTGAAAAATACTTTTCAAAAATCCTCAATATTTTGGCGATAGTCCTTGAAAAATATTCCTTAAAAAGGATCATAGTTGCCATATTCCCTGAGAAATATTCCTTAAATTATCCGCTCTCCTAGCGATAATCCTTCAAAAATATCCTTTAAAAATCCAAGATTAATGTGGCGATAGTCCTTGAAAACTATTACTCAAAAGATCCTGGATTCTTGCGGCAATAGTCCTTGACATTGATAAATATTCTTTAAAAAAAGGTTCTCAATGGTCCTTCAAAAATATTCTAAGAGAGTCTTTTTAGACGAGTTAAACATGTCCTTATGTGATCCCCGTAGGCGAGTTATGAAGTAGGGGGTGTTTACAGGTGAGCTGTGGAGCACGAGGGAGGCTTAATCGACGATTCTTATGGCGATAGTCCTTGAAAAGTATTTCTCAAAATTCCTTGACATTTTAACGATAGTCTTTGAAAAATATTCCTTAAAAAGAATTCTATTGGCGATGTTCCTTGAGAAACATTAATTAAATTATCCACGCTCCTAGTGATAGTCCTTTAAAAATATCCTTTAAAAATACAAGATTAATGTGGCGATATTCCTTGAAAAATATTCCTCAAAAGATCCTGGATTCTTGTGGCAGATATTCCCTAAAAAAAGGTTCTCAATAGTCCTTCAAAAGTATTCTAACAAAAATATTTAAAAAAAAATATTTTCATATACTCACAAATTTTTTTTGTGATAGTCCTTTAAAATTTTTCTCTAAAGAATCCTTGATTTTTGACTAATATTTCTTAAAAAATCCTTGATTTTAGAGGTAATAGTCCTTGAAAAATATTCTATAAAAATATGTTTCATGGGGCTGTAGACCTTGATAAATATTCCATTAAAATATAAGATTTTGTGGCGCAGTCCTTGGAAAATATTCTTAAAAAAAATCCATATCCTTCAGAATCTACGATATCCAATAATCCTTAAAAATCTATGATTCATGGAGCGATAATCTTTGAAAAATAATCTTTGAAAAAGCCACAATTCTTGTGGCGATAAAAAGCCACTATTCTTGGGGCGAAAGTCCCAGAAAAAAGCCACGATTATTCTGGCGATAGCCTTTAAGAAATATCTCGTAGATAATGCAGGATTTTTATCTCGAGAGTACTTGCAAAAATGTTATTTGAAAACTCCAAGATTCTGAGGCTATAATCCTAGAAAAATATTCTTGAACAACTCCAAGATTCATGGGGCGAAAGTCCCTAAAAAATATTATTTAAAAAATCAACGATTCTTGAGCCGATAGTTCTTTAAAAATATTCTTTAAAAAACCCACGATTCTTGACCCGATAGTCCTTTAAAAAAATTCTTAAAAAAAATCCACGATTCTTGAGCCGATAGTCCTTTAAAGATATTCTTTAAAAAATCCACGATTCTTGAGCCGATAGTCCTTTAAAGATATTCTTAAAAAAATCCACGATTCTTGAGCCGATAGTCCTTTAAAAATATTCCTTAAAAAATCCCCGATTCTTGAGCCGATAGTCCTTTAAAAATTTTCTTTAAAAAATCCACGATTCTTGAGCCGATAGTCCTTTAAAAATTTTCTTTAAAAAATCCACGTTTCTTGAGCCGATAGTCCTTTAAAAATATTCTTTAAAAAATCCACGATTCTTGTGCCGATAGTTATTTGAAACTATTCTTTAAAATATGCACGAAGTCACATTTCCTGTGGCTATATTCCTTGAAAAATATTCGTTAAAGATCGACGATTCCTGTGGCGATAGTCCTTGAAAAATATTTTTAAAAAATCCAAAATTCTATTGGCGATAGAGAAAAAAATATCCTTAAATAATCCAGAATTTTTGTGTCGATATTCCTTAAAAAATATTCCTTAAAAACCTCACAATTCAAGGAGCGATAGTCCTTAAGAAATATTCCTTTAAAAAACCCAAGATTCATCGGGCAATAATCCTTTAAAAATACTCTTTAAAATGTCACGGTTCTTGTGGCGATATCCCTTAAATAATACAGGGGATAGTCTTTGAGAAATATCCCTTTTATAATTCAAGATTTCTGTGTCGATAATCCTTTAAAAAAAATCTTTGAAAATCCACGAATCTGGGGCTAAAATTCTTAAAAAATATTCCTCAAAAAGGCTTAATTCATGGGGCGATATTCCTTCATAAACATTTTTTTAAAAATCCTTAATTCATGCGGCCATAGTCCTTGAAAATATTCTTTAAAAAACGACGGTTCTTGTCACGATAGTCCTTGAGAAATATCGCTAAATAATACAGGATATTTGTGTCGATAGTCCTTAAAAAATAATTTTTGACAAATCCACGATTCTGGAACTATAACCCTTAAACAACCCAAGATTCATGGGGCGATAGTCCTTGAAAAATACTTAAAAAAAAATGTCGCGATTCTTGTGGCTATAGTCATTGAGAAATATCGCTTAAATAATCCAGGATTTTTGTGTTGATAGACCCTGAACGATTTTTGTAACGATAGTTCTTGAGAAATATCTCCTAAATAATCCAGGATTTTTTTGTCGATAGTCCTTGAAAATATTCTTTACTAAAATCACAATTCTTGTTGTGATACTACTTGAAAAATTATTCGTTAAAGTATAGTCGAATCTTGAGCAACAGTCCTTGATTAATATTCCTTTAATAATCCAGGCGATAGACCTTGAAAAATACTCTTTTAAAAATACACGCTTCTGGTGGCGATAGTCCTTAAAAATATTCGTTAAAAATCAAAGATTCTTGGGGTCTTCGAAAAATAATCTTTAAAGAGGAATAATTCTTGTAGCGATAGTCCTTGATGAATATCCCTAATATAATCCAGGCGATAGTCCTTGAAAAACCTTCTTTAAAAGAATAAACAATTCTTGAGGCGGTAGTCCTTAAACAATATTCTTTAAAAGAACGACGATTCTTTTACTGTTAGTCCTTAAGAAATGTCCCTTAAATAATCAAGGACAAGTGTCCTTGAAAAATATTCTTTAAACGATTCACGATTCCTGCGCCTATAGCACTTGAAAATTTTTCTTTAAAAAATCCACGATCATTGGGCGGATTGTCCTAGAAAGTATTCTTTAAAAAATTCACAATTCTCCTTGAAACATATTATCTTAAAAATCAACGATTCCTGTGACGCCAGTCCTTGAAAAGTATTCCTTAAAAATCCACGATTATCCCTGAAAAATATTTTATAAAAAAATAGTCCTTGAAAAATATTCTTTAAAAAATCCACAATTTCAGTGGCGATAGTCCTTAAAAATATAATTTAAAAATCCGCCATTATCGCTCTAATGGACCTCCAAAAATAATCTTTAAAAAATCCACAATTCCAGTCGCGGTAGTCCTTGAAAAATATGCTCTAAAAATCCGCAAATCGTACTGAGGAAAATGTGAGCCTATTTGGGATATTCAATATTCAAAGATTTATGTATTATAGCAACCGTTTTAAGAAATGCTGGTTATAACTGGCGCACCCTGTATTTCAACTTTTTATCATCTATACAAAGGCTCATAAACTTTACTATACCTTCTTTAAGCGGACAAAAATAACCTTTCAGTGATGACCAATACTTTTTTTATCAAATTGGTTACGATAAAATACAAACAAATAATAAAAAATAGGAGTTCGGCATGAAAATAATTGAAAAATCGAAACGATTTTTAATTGTATCGGAAATTTTCAGAGATGGTGATCGTTGAGGGGATTGCGTTCGCGGTGCTCCTAATTTTGGCTCAAGAATCATTAGTCACTAGGGCAAAACGCATTAAACCAATACCGGATTATTTACCTGGCAAAGTTGGCGAAATAACAGCTGAGGACGGGTTGGGACGTGTAGTTGGTGGCATAACCGCAGAAGAAGGCTTGGCTCCCTATCAGGTATCTTTACAGAATTTCTGGGGTCATTATTGTGGTGGAGCCATAATTGCCGAACAATGGATTCTCACAGCTGCTCATTGCGTTGTGACCAAAGATTTGGAGGATATTTTGGTAATGACGGGTACACAAAATCTGGAGGTGCCAGGTATAACCTACCATGTAGATAAGGTCCATGTCCATTGTAACTACAATAAACCGGATATGCACAATGATATTGCCCTGCTGCATTTGAATGAGAGTATTGTGTGGAATGAGCGGACACAACCTATATCTTTACCCACCCGACCCATGAAAGATGGGGCCGATGTCCTACTCACCGGTTGGGGCCGAGAAGAGGTATGGGGTGAACCACCAGATCTTTTGAAAAAAATCAATTTGAAATACATGGAACACGGGCGTTGCAAGGCAGCTTTGAATAATGACCCCGATGTGGATGTTGGCCATATTTGCACCTATACCAATGTGGGAGAGGGCTCGTGTCATGGTGACTCGGGAGGTCCTTTGGTCAGTGGTGGATATTTGGTAGGTCTGGTCAACTGGGGTATCCCATGTGCTGTGGGCTATCCAGATATGCATGCTAGTCCGTTGTACTACAAGAATTGGATACGAATGATAATGAGTGGCAATAGACAATGTTGATAATAAAAATTTTAAATTTATTATTTGAATAAAAGAAGTTAAGTTTTTTATTTTAAACCAAAAATTTATTTGAAAAATCGAAGCAATATTCTCGGGATACCACGTGAACATCTACAGAATATGAAAAATGTGGTATAGAAACAGGTTTTATCAGGTTATCCTACGAAAATAAGACCCTTTGAGGGACATCTAAGAAAATAAAAAACCTTTTGAGATTTCAAAAGAACAAGACCTGCTTTTAGGCATTTAAAATAAAGAAGGAAGACCTTCTGAAGGTCGTTTACCGAAGGCAGATCCTATAACATTATTTCCTACGAAAAAAGGACCATTAGACCATAAAAAATCTTTTACGAAATGAAGACATTCTAAAGTCGTTTACAAAAAAACAGAAAAATCCTTTCGAAGGTAACTTTGGGAAAGGAGTACCTTTGAAGATCTGCTTGAAATGGAGATCCTTTTAAAAATATCTTATGAAGAGAGGATCTTTCGAATAGAAGATCGTCCGGTGGTATTCTATAATAGGAAGACCTTTTCTAGGTAAGCTGTAGCAAGAAGGCCGTCATAAGGTCTCTGAAGAAAAAAAAGTCTTCTCTAAGGTTTTCTGCGTGAAGATCACCGTCTGGAACTTTTTTCTTCTTTCTTTTTCTCCAAACTCTTACGAAAACCCAATATACGAAACTCAGAAGATCAGGTTCAACTGGTCTGCCAAACCAGATTTAAGCTGATCGCTGAAGACCAGGTACAAACTGGTGGGTGAAGACTCGGTTTAGGCTGGTCCTTGAAGATCAGGCTCTAGCTGGCTTCTGAAGACCCCAGCTTTAACCTGATCACTGAACACTTCAGCTTTGGTCTATGAACCCCTTAGCTCAGAGCTGGTCTATGAAGGCCCCAGCTTGGAGATGGTCTATGAATGCCCCAGTTTTGAGCTAATATATGCAGACCCCAGTTTTAAGCTGACCTTCAAAGGCTGGGCTCTCGCTGGTCTATGAAGACCAGGCTCACGCTGGTCTATGAAGACCAGGCTGAAGCTGGTCTATGAAGACCAGGCTCATGCTGGTCTATGAAGACCAGGCTCATGCTGGTCTATGAAGACCAGGCTCACGCTGGTCTATGAAGACCAGGCTGAAGCTGGTCTATGAAGACCAGGCTGAAGCTGGTCTATGAAGACCAGGCTGAAGCTGGTCTATGAAGACCAGGCTGAAGCTGGTCTATGAAGACCAGGCTGAAGCTGGTCTATGAAGACCAGGCTGAAGCTGGTCTATGAAGACCAGGCTGAAGCTGGTCTATGAAGACCAGGCTGAAGCTTGTCTATGAAGACCAGGCTGAAGCTGGTCTATGAAGACCAGGCTGAAGCTGGTCTATAAAGACCAGGCTGAAGCTGGTCTATAAAGACCAGGCTCAAGCTGGTCTATAAAGACCAGGCTGAAGCTGGTCTATAAAGACCAGGCTCAAGCTGGTCTATGAAGACCAGGCTGAAGCTGGTCTATAAAGACCAGGCTCAAGCTGGTCTATAAAGACCAGGCTGAAGCTGGTCTATAAAGACCAGGCTCAAGCTGGTCTATGAGGACCAGACTCTAGCTGGTCTATAAAGACCAGACTCTAGCTGGTCTATAAAGACCAGACTCAATCTGGTCTATGAAGACCAGGCTCAATCTGGTCTATGGAGACCAGGCTCAAGCTGGTCTATGAAGACCAGGCTCTAGCTGGTCTATGAAGACCAGGCTCTAGCTGGTCTATGAATACCAGGCTCAAGCTGGTCTATGAAGACCAGGCTCAAGCTGGTCTATGAAGACCAGGCTCAAGCTGGTCTATGAAGACCAGGCTCTAGCTGGTCTATGAAGACCAGGCTCTAGCTGGTCTATGAAGACCAGGCTCAAGCTGGTCTATGAAGACCAGGCTCAAGCTGGTCTATGAAGACCAGACTCAAGCTGGTCTATGAAGACCAGGCCGAAGCTGGTCTATGAAGACCAGGCCGAAACTGGTCTATGAAGACCAGGCCGAAGCTGGTCTATGAAGACCAGGCCGAAGCTGGTCTATGAAGACCAGGCCGAAGCTGGTCTATGAAGACCAGGCCGAAGCTGGTCTATGCTGGTCTATGAAGACCAGGCCGAAGTTGGTCTATGAAGACCAGGCCGAAGCTGGTCTATGAAGACCAGGCCGAAGCTGGTGTATGAAGACCAGGCCGAAGCTGGTGTATGAAGACCAGGCCGAAGCTGGTCTATAAAGACCAGGCCGAAGCTGGTCTATGGACACCAGGCTGAAGCTGGTCTATGGAGACCAGGCTAAAGCTGGTCTATGGAGACCAGGCTGAAGCTGGTCTTTGGAGACCAGGCTGAAGCTGGTCTTTGGAGACCAGGCTGAAGCTGGTCTTTGGAGACCAGGCTGAAGCTGGTCTTTGGAGACCAGGCTGAAGCTGGTCTTTGGAGACCAGGCTAAAGCTGGTCTATGGAGACCAGGCTGAAGCTGATCTATGTACACTAGGTTCAACAAGACTTTTCTTTGAAGGTTCGTCTATAGAAAACGTCCTCCAGCTCGTCTATAGATGACAGCTTCCAGCTCGTTTATAAAAGACGACCAGGTCGATAAAGGACGATCTTGAGAGCTCGTCTGTAAAAAACGATCTTGAAAGCTCGTCTGTAAAAGACGACCTTGAGAGCTCATCTATAGAAGATGACTGTGAGGGCACGTCTATAAAAGACGACCTTGACCTCTATTAACCTCTTTTTACTTCTTCTTTAGCTACTTCCTTCAATTTTTCCCCTTTCCAAAGTTTCCCTTCCAAAATAAAATAACTTTAACATTTGATTTCAAAAAAATATGCTTTGTTCGTGGCTTTTATTTAATAATTTCGAATTGATGTATTCCAAACAAATTCCTTCGATTAATATTTATTGGCACCATTTTGATTCCTGCCGAAGGGATAATTACTGGCACTGCAGTGACATTCACGGCAATTTTGACTCATAACCTTGCGAATCCAATCCAAATAGAAATAGACATTGCAATGGGCATCTGGGACACCAGTGGCGCAGGGCATGCCCCAGTTGACCAAGCCGACCAAACGGCCATTGCTTACCAAGGGACCACCAGAATCACCGTGGCACGAGCCTTCTCCAACACGGGTAAATGTGCAGATATGGCCAACATCCAACATAGGGGCTCCACCGTAAATCTCATAGCAGTCTTCGTAGGTGACAAATTTCGTGTAGAGCTTATGGAGTTCGTCGGGAGTACCACCCCACAGGACATTGTCGCCCCAACCAGTTAGAATGACCTCATCGCCATCCTTTAGGGGACTAATGGGCAGGGGTATGGGTTGGGTCAGGTCATCATAGACAATGGGCGTCTTCAGGTGCAGTATGGCAATGTCGTTGTGATACGTGGGGTTGTCGTAGTTGCAGTGACACCAGAACTCATCCACCTCATAGGTGGCTCCAGGTTGGAAGTAGACATTGGTACCGGTAATGACACGCAAAAATTCCGGATTATAACCATCCACACAGTGGCAGGCCGTTAGCACCCATTCATTGTCGATGATGGCTCCACCACACATGTGGCCGCCATACATGCCCTGCAGTGAGATTTGGTATTTGGCAAACCCCTTCTCAGCCACCTGGCCTCCAACAATTCTCTCCTGGGCCAATTTATCTTTGGTAAGGTTTTCTTTGTTGTCCACCAAACGGACAGCCCTGCTCGAGCATGCTGCTAGCAGGACCAAAACGGCAGCTAATGTAATTTTCATGATGGAAACGCTTGTTTGTGATCGGCGAGTGTGCCGTTACTCGCTTAAATATGATTTGATTTGTAGAGAACAAAACGAAGACTCCTCGAACCTGAAGTTCAGAAAACCAGACGACCACAAACTTTGTACTATATATTATGTATATACGCGGAGTTTATCAGATATAATATCTATATGAGACATATAATATTATATACTTTTCGAATTGGCGATCTATTGCCTGTTGTATATCGATTTTATTGTCCAGCTGATTAGGGTTTGGGAATGATTCTTTTTTTGCTAGCCTTCTTCTTTGTTGTTGTTTGTGGCGTTCCACACCCCTGATAACGTCGTCTGCAATTGACCAGTTGTTGTAGCTAACTGCAAAGATAAGAAAAACATGTTCTGTTTGAAGATATTTATCTTTTAATATTTTTTTTTGAAATATTGTTTGGGTGTTTGTTTAGATTTTCGAAGATTTAAATCATTTTCATGGAAATTTCAATGATTTATTTATTTGTTATTATTTTTTTATTCTTTATTTTCAGTAGAAAATTCATTTACAAAATATTTAAGGAATGTCGATTAAATGCGCAGAAATTATGGAAAAATAAAAACATTTCTGTATAATAACAGGTAAATATATTTTTTCATAATCTAGATTGAAATTAAATGGTTTAATTGACAAACAGATTTCTAAAGAAGTGTTGAACAGAGGGAAATATATATTTTTCGAATTGTAGTATAACAAGTTGGAATGTTTCTATCAGTTGGTTTGATGACAGATAAATATCCCAAGTCTAAGGCACTTAAGCGAAGGGAATCCGTAATTTTTGGATTTTTTTAAAGGAAGTTCTTAAAAAATCCTGAAAAGGCTTAATAAACCCCAGAAGCCCTTAAGGGAATCCATAATTTTTAATAAGGTAGTCCCTGCAAATAAATTCTTGTGACATCCGCGATTTTGTGTTAGGAAATCCTGAAAGTAATTCATAAGTTATAACAAGGCATTTTTTATACAAATTTTGAAAATACCACGAATTTTCGAATTCCATAATTTTTCAGCAGGAAGTCCTTGAAAAAAAAAAACATGTAAAAAAAACATTAAGTTCGGCCGGGTCAAACTTTTAATACCCTCCACCTTAGGGTAAAGGAAACATTAAAGCCCATTATGACCTACATATACCAATTTTTTCTCATATTCATGGGAAAATGTGCCGAAAATCATCAAAATACCGAATATCGGGAGGTACCCTTATATGGGGGCTATACCAAATCGTGGACCTAAACATGCAATATTTCGCCACCGGAGCTAAAACCCATTATGACCAACAAATACCAATTTTTAGACAAATCCGTAAAAATATGTGGCAAAAACCATCAAAATACCGAATATCGGGAGGTATCGTTATATGACTATACCAAAACGTGGACCGATATATCTCATTATCAATGCCAAACATCCTAGGCACAATATAAATTATTCTGCTAAATTCTGACGCTCTACGTCAAATAATGTGGGCTGTATCGTGATTTCAACAGACGGAAGGACAGACAGACGGACATCGTTAAATCTACTTAGAATTTTATGCTGATTATGAATATATATATATATATATATATATATATATATATATATATATACTTTATGGGGTCTACGAAGAATATTTTAGGATGTTACAAATGACAAAGTTAATATACTCTCCTTTCCAAGGTGGAGGGTATAAAAGTAAAAAAAAAATCTTTAAAGAAATCCACAATTTTCCTCAAGGAAGTCCTTGGAAAATACATACAGGAATCCATAATATTTTACACAGAGATCCTAGTAAAAAATTCTTGCAAAATCTACAATTTTCGACAAGAAAGGTCTAATTTTGTCCACGAATTTCTTCGAAATTGTTTTGGAATTCTTAAGAGAATTTACGATTTTCTCAATGAAATCATTAAAGATTTTTTTCTCAAGGTAGTCCTTTAAACAAAATATTAAAAATGTCATGATTTCTTCATTTTGTTTTATTAATTTTTGTAAATAAAATTGAAAATAAAAATCATTAAAAAAATCCATAATTTATTCCTAAAAAAATCTTAAACAATCTTTTGCCGACAGATGTATACCCCCGATTATTGAAATATACTTTGACTTCTGTTACGAATATTCAATTTCGATTTCTTCATTTTATTTATTTATTTATTTATTTTTTTTTTTTTTGTGAAAATAAAAATCTTTAAAAATCTTAGACAATTTAAAAAGTATAGGTCGGTTTTGCCAGCAGATGTATACCCTCGATTATTGAAATATATTTTGACGTCTGTTATGAATATTCAAATTGTTGGCCCTCTATGTAGTGGGTTCGGAAGGAGTGGGCCAGTATTGTCCATTTCGTATCGGAATTAAATAAACATGATATACAGGGTGAGATGAAAAAACTGCAACCAACTACAGACTGCTGTCATTTCCAAGCCACTCGTCCGACAGCTGTTAAAATTATTCCAGTGACAGCTCATGATATCGTTTACAAGCGCACAAAAGCATTTTGGTGAGAATTTTCCAGAAAAAAAGTTATTCAAGCGTGATAGTGTGTTTTCTTTATATTTGGCTGGTAAATCACAAGTGGCTATCGTTAGAGCACTCCAGCATTTAAATGTGAGTAAATCTTTTGTGTCTCGTACCATCGTTCGTTACCGTGATACTGGTTGCATAGCCCGATGTCAAGGAAGTGGACGGAAGAAAACAGCAACATCAGCAGAAATGATTCGAAAAGTAAAGAAGCGACTTTATCGAAACACGCGCCGCAGTGGCTCTTGAGTTGAACTTATCGCAATGTATCATTCGGCAAATATTGAAAAATGAGCTGGGGGTAAAGCCATTGAAATTCCAAAAAGTGCAAGAACTTACTCCGCAACAGAACAGACAGAAAATAGACTAAAACGATCTAAAGAGTTGCTTGCCTTGGCCGAAAGTGGTGAACTGCCGAATTTAGTTTTCTCAGATGAGAAAAAATTCGTTGTCCAGAAGTTTGTAAACAAAGAACATGATCGTGTTTACTTGCCAAAGAGGTCAGCTGAAAATGTGCACCATCGGTTGGCCCCCAGAACTCAAGCGCCGGCCATGGTTATGGTGTGGGCCGCCATAACAGCCGATGGTCGCTCTCCGCTCATATTAAACGACCGTGGCATCAAAATAAATGCCGAATATATCGCGAAAATATTCTGGAGGGTGTATTAAAGCCTTGGGCATGCAAACATTTTGGCCGCAGACCTTGGACATTTCAACAGGACTCAGCACGCGCCACCTAAGAATGGTTACAAAGTGAGGTTCGTCGCTTAATTTCCAGCGCCACCAAAATCTCCGGATACCGATCCGTTGGACTATTGTGTCTGGAGTATTTTGGAAAGCAAGGTTGGCACTAAAAAATACCAAATTGTCGATCACCTTAAACAAACGCTTCGCCGGGAATGGGCCAAAATACCGTAGAGCAACATTCGAGCTGCGTGTGTCGGTTTCATTGGCCATTTGAAGGTCATAATTGCTGCCAAAGGTGACCAATGCGAACAAATCAAAACTTATTCTAAATTTTGATGCTATTTCCAACATTTTTTGCTATTATTCAGTAAAATTTAAAAAAAAAAAATGTAAAAATTATGGCGCTTGACTTTGTTGCAGTTTTTTTTTATCTTACCCTGTGTACATTCAGCCTTCGAGAATTCATGTAAATAATATGATTTATATTATTTATAAAGGTTAGTGAATATACGTTTATAAGTAATCTTAGAATTGTCTGAATAACATCAGGCTTACGATTCTTCGAAAGTTCTTAAAGGGTATCTGTAATGGTATTTTATATTAGGAAGTCCTTAAGGTATTACTAAGATTTTTACAGGGAAGTCCCTGAGAGAATTGATAAACCTTCAAGGAAATCTCTGGAAACAAGTCTTGGAAAACCCACGATTTTGTGACATGAAGTCCATAAAGGAAGTCCATGGTGAAAAATCTTAAAAAACTTATATTTTACCGGAAAGTTCCGAACGTAATCCATAATTTTTTCACAAGAATTTACAGAGAACTTGTGCCAGAAAGTCGTTAAAGGAATCCATAAAAATCCGCAATTTTATGTTCGAAATTCTTTAAAGTAATCTATGATTCGGAAGTCGCTGGAAGTAGACAAATCTAATATTTTGTATTATTTTTCCCTAAAAGGTCGTTTCTTTAAATGTTTTATTTGAAAAATCCATGATTTTGTGGTTCTTAAAGGAATCGTTGATTTTTCACAAAAAGGTAAAAAAAGCAAACTTGAAAAATTCACTGATTTGCTGCACCGTAATATTACTCTCAAAGTTCGGAGATGGGCAATATCGGCCCACTCCTTCGGGTACCTCCCCCACACAAGATCGAAATTAAAAAATATATATATGTTTTTCTGTGCAGAAAGAGAAAGGATAATCGGATTTTGCTCCAACTTTGCAAATCCTAATATTTGTATAAGTGCTCAGCCAAGTGAGGCAATGGACAATATCGGTCCACTCCCTACCTCCTCCGCAAAAAGTCAATATTTTGAATAATTATAACTCTTATAAAATGTGAAGTAACCGTCCGATTGTCTTCAAATTACACAAATCACAATATTTTTGAAGATAGAAAATATTGGTCCACCCCTTCTGCTACCTTCCCCACAAAGGGTAAAAATGTTAAATATCCATGAAGCTTATAAAACGCGAAATTAACATCCGATTCCATTCAGACTTGGTACATCTCAATATTTCCATCAACACAAGATCTTCTTTCCATCAACACAAAATCTTCATTTTCTAAAAATTATCACATATCTCATACAAAGTGAAGGAAGTAGTCGATATAGTCCAAACCTGGCACTTGACAATATTTATATCATACATTTTTTAGGTCCGATACGATGGACAATATTGGCCCTTTCCTTCGGAAGGTCAAAAATTTAAATAATCATAACAGAAGTCAAATATATTTAAATAATCAAACATTGGCTGAGCGTATATCAAAACGACATTGCCTTGGAAACCGAAACACCGACTGATGCTTTTTAACTTGTTATTATGCATTTCTCCTATATTGGGCCAAAATATCCACCACTTCAAATTCATATTCCTATAATTGCGACCTCTAGATTTATATGGATACTGGATTGAAATAAATTTCATTGCTTCGGGTTATTGGTCATTACGTTCATACCGACTTACACTCCCCACGTATGAAAATCCAAAATTATAGGTTTTAATGGTACTCCAATGAATAGGTTAACATTATTCGAAACGAGCTCCCTAAAAACATGCTTCAAAAATCAGATATGGTGGGTCTGACAATTTGTTTCAAATCCATTATAAAATCTCTAAAACCGTGTATAAAATCCTTGGTTTTCTCTCCTCTCTGACCACGGAAAAATATTGTGAAAATCCTTGGAAGTGAGTCTAGCGGCGCGTCAAGAAATATATTTTAAAACCATAGAGCATTTAATATCAATAATGAAATTTAAAATTCAAAATATAATGTAAAATATAATTTATTATTTATTTCTCTTAAATATATCATCGAACACATTGATGCCCTCCCTTAACCCCTTAACCTAGTACACTGACTCAAAGCTAGTTGTATAAAATCACGATAATAAACGGTGCTGGCATGCATATCTGGTTTGCCGCGGGCACATGGGGCACCCCAGTTAACCAGGCCCACCAGTTTCCCTTTGAATGTCACTGGACCACCCGAATCACCGTTGCAGGCACCTTCTCCCTCTCTCGTCATTGAACAAATATGGCCCACACCAACACCCTCATCATTTTCCCATCTACGGCGGCATTCTTCGTGGGGTATAAAATTGAAATCCCATTTCTGCAAAAGATCTGGAGGATATCCATTCAATCGCGTTGCACCCCAACCGGTAATGGTGACGACATCGCCCTCCTTCAGTACTTCGTGGGACAACTCAATTTTATTGGTTAAGTTATCAAAGACCAATGGCTCATTCAAGTGCACCAAGGCTATGTCGTTGTGAAATTCTGGCTGATCATGGCGACAATGGGGTATGGCAATTGCAAGCTGGCGAACAGCTCCCGGTTCATGCCAGTTGTTGGTGCCTGTTATTACACGTAACACATCCAATGGATAATCCTGCACACAGTGGGCGGCTGTGATAATCCATTCTGGATCTAGGATGGCACCGCCACAAAGATGGGTGCCAAATATCGATTGTATGGATACCTGATAGGGTGCAAAGCCCAAGGGAGCATCTTCACCGCCCACAATGCGTCCATCCAAACGGGGAGTGGCTTCATTTTGATAGCTGTGATGAATACGTTTTCCCTCTGTCTCACTGCACTGCAGTATGATAAAAACCACCAACAATGATATATGCCACGCCTTTATGGCTCTTGGAACTGGGTCACCCGAGTGCATTTTTTTCCGTTCGTTTGGCAAATTTTGAAAAAAAATTGTTTTATTTAAGACTCTATTTTATTTTGCGACAGTAAAAACGCGTTGTTTTGGTCATAATGTGCCGTTAATGACATTACGATCCGATATTTATGTGCTTGGGGTTCAGAGAGAAAATGCCGCCGCCTCCATGACCAGGGCGAGCCTATCAGGCCATAAAACGCACACATTCCAACCGTTCCCAAAACTGACCAATCATATAATTTTTTATTTTTGTTGGGGACAATTTTGTTGGAATTCTTGGTGGGTTTTCCATTATTGGTGTTATTGTTCTCTTTTTTGTTTTGGTCGCACAATTAACTGCTGCAATTAGCGTTAATTGCTGTATGACATCTTTACAGCTCTGGTGCGAAAGTTTAGTTATTACTTAGTAATGATTATGAAAAAATTATTGGTTTTATCTTTTCGGAGTATCGGACACCTAGTAAAAATAAGAAAAAACAAACGGTCCAACAAAGCTTATTGTTTAAATAATAAATATTGTAAACAATCGATTTATAACTACCCTATAGTGGTTTGGGGAAGCACGGGAACTTTGCTTTGCAATTTTAAGGTCCGTTTCAAAATCTGATGAAAATAATAAACGAAATAACAAAGTTTATGTTTTGAATTACTCAGAAATAACTTTGAAAATATTTTTATTGCAGGATTATGCCAAAAGTAGAGAAGATATATGTGTCTAAAAAGGGAAGACATATTTGTCGGCGTTTTGAAAGTTAACATATCAAAGTAACCTAAATAGGGTGATAAAATGCTCCCCTCTTCAAAATTTTTTTGAAAGTTTCGGATTAAGATACCCTAGAAAGCGTGCATTTTAGTTATATAGAGTTTTCGGCAATATTGCAGATCAAAATACGAGGAATATTTTGTTTAAAATTCAAATCAAGCGAGCCACCACAAGGGGTCTTTTTCGTATTTCTATACCCTACACCACAAGATGGTCAGGGTATTATGTCTCTGTGCATTTGTTTGTAACAGGCAAAAGGAAACGAGATAGGCCCCAATTTCCTTTGATGATCTGCATAAAATCACTTTCTGAGTCGATTTATGCATATCAGTCCATCCGTCTGTCCATGTATTTTTGTGAACAATATGCAGGTCGCATTAATCATCCGATTGAGATCAAATTTTCCAAACAATATTTGTTTGGCCTAAGGACGATCCCTATTGAAATTGGTGAGAATCGGTTCAAGTTTAGATATAGCTCCTATATTTATCTTCAACCGATTTCGGGTTAATTGCCAAATGTCCAATATCAGTCCGCATGACCGGAATTTTGGCTCATCCGACCGAATTAAGTCTATAAGCAAGTACATCAAATTTGGTGAAAATCGGTTCAGATATAACTATGGCTCCCATATATATGTTTCATCCGATTTGATGTTTAAGTCCCTCACATATATAGTATAATCCTCCTCGATGTGATATCATGCACTCTATAGGAATGTCATTTAGTACAAAAAAATAACAATGTCTCCGTCAAATTTGGTAAATATGTCTCCCATATATTAGTTCCCTTTGAAACCAAATTTAATCTGCTCTAAAGCCAATGGTTGATAGGTGGTATGATCTACTTCAAATAATTTTTTTTTTGTTACGGGAGCTCTACTAAATAAGCATAGTGGTGTAGGGTATCATATAGTCGACCCCGCCCGTCTTTTGACTCTCCTTACTGCTTTTAAGGGTAAAATCGTGGAATTTGTATAAACATTTTTTCGTCAACCGAAATGTTGGATTTTTTTATGGTTTGTTTTTAAAACCCGAAATCAAGGATCACCTACTTACTTACGTTTAGGAATTTCGAATTTTAAGAATAATCTAAAGATTTCCTGGTCAAAAATCAATTAAAATTTTTTTTCATTGAGGAAGTTAAAGAAGAGTTTTTTCTTAAGAATTTTCGGTAAAAATCCGGAAGATTATTTTTAATATTTTTTATATTAATATTTTCTTTCAATAATCTGCTGCCAAAATCGCGGTTTTTATACCCTCAGCCATGAGAGTTGTAATTATTCACAATTTTGACCATTTGTGGGGGAGATACTTGATGGAGTGAACCGATATTGTCCATTTCCGCACCTGACCTAGCACTGACGCCAATATAAGGATTTGCAAAGTTGCAAAAAAATATATTTTTTGAAATTTCGACCTTTTTTGGGGGAGCTACCAGAAGGAGTGGACCCATTTTCTAACTCGATCTAAGTTTGACAAAAATATTACGATGTACCAAATTTGGACCAAGTTGGATACTCCCTTCGAGAGTTGTCGTGATCACCAGCCAGACAGACAGACAGAATGACGGACGGACGGACATCGCTAGATCGACTCCAAATGTCCTGAAACAGTTTTGGTCCAAGGAGACCTAGGGTCTAAAACCGTTATTTCGACTGGGAACTTTTGGCCGTATCAAATGATATATACCCTCTCTAGCCATATGGCTGCACACAAAAGAATAATCCGATTTTGCTCCAACTTTGCGAATCCTCATATTTGCATCAGTGCTATGTCAGGTGCAAAAATGGACAATATCGATCCACTCCATCAAGTCCTCCCCCACAAATTATAACTCTTATAAAATGTGATGTAAGAGTCCCATTGTCTTCAAATTACACACTTCACAATATTTTTATTAGCCCAAGGACTGGTGTGTAGATGGAACGTATCGGTCCACTCCTTCTGCTACCTTCCCCACAAAGGGTCAACATTTTGAATATTCATGAAGCTCATAAAACGCAAAATTAATATCCGATTCCATTCAAACTTGATATTTCTATTAACTATTATTTCTATATTCTTTTATTATAAAGATGTTAAAGATCGGATCATTTCTTCTGGCACAAAGGGTCAAAGTTTGAATAACAAAAATGATTACTAAATCCAAAGTAAGCATCCTGTCTTCTTTATATTTCACATATCCCATTATTATTCCTACTAACAAGATATCTGGGATGTGATGTATCAGTGCACTCTTTCTGGTACCTCCCACAAAAAAGGTAAAAATTTTGGATATCCATGAAGCTCATAAAACGCGAAATTAAAATCCGATTCCATTCAGACTTGGATTCCTTACAACTTACTATATCTAAGTATTTATCTCAACCAGAAACCTAAGATAAATATGGAATTTATGGTTTCGCATAAAATTAGATTTAAATGTTAGATTTTCTTGTAATTTTGCCAATACCAATTTTTTATCGGCATTAGATGAAGTATGACAAGTAAAAACACATTAAGTTCGGCCAGGCCAAACTTTTAATACCCTCCACGTTAGGGTAAAGTAAACATTAGAAGAAATGTGGCAAAAACCATTAAAATGTCGAATATCGGCAGGTACCGTTATATTGGGGCTATACCAAATCGTGGACCTACACATACAATGTTTCGCCAAAGGAGCTAGAACCCATTATGACCCACAAATACCAACTTTCAGACAAATCGGTGAAAAAATGTGGCAAAAATTATCAAATTACCGAATATCGGGAGGTACCGTTATATGGGGGCTATACCAAAACGTGGACCTATAATTACAATGACTCGCCACACGAACTAGGACCCATCATGATCTACAAGTACCAATTTTCAGAGAAATTTTTTAAAAAATGTGTCCAAAGTCATCAAAATACCGAATGTTGGGAGGTACCGTTATATGGAGGCTATATCAAAACGTGGACCTATACGTACAATGTTTCGCCACACGAACTAGGACCCATTATGACCTACAAATACCAATTTTCAGGCAAATCCGTGAAGAAATGTGGCATAAATCATCAAAATACCGAATATAGGGAGGTACCGCTATATGGCGACTGTACCAGAACGTGGACCAATATATCTCATTTTCAATACCAACCATCCGAGACACAATACAAATTGCTATGCTAAATTTTGGAGCTCTACGTCAAATAATGTGGGCTGTATCGTGATTTCAACAGACGGACAGACAGACGGACAGAGGACAGACAGACAGACAGACAGACGGACATCGTTAAATCGACTTAGAATTTTATGCTGATTATGAATATATATACTTTATGGGGTCTACGACGAATATTTAAGGATGTTACAAACGGAATGACAAAGTTAATATACCCTCCTTTCCAAGGTGGAGGGTATAAAAATGGGATACTTCTGTCGACTATATCTGGAACCTCAAACTCATTTTAGCATTTTCTAAAAATTATCACACATCTTATATAAAATGAAGGAAGTCTAAACCTGGCTCGACGCAATATTTATATCATATTTATTTAGATACGATACGAAGTGGACAATATTGGCCCATTCCTTCGGAACTTACTCCATAGAGTGTCAAACATTTTGAATTTTTGAAATAATTTTCAAATCTTCTGATCGTAATTTTTTTACGAATTTTTTTTTTAATTATTAGGAATTCCAAATCAAAACCATATATTTTTAAGATTTTTTTTCAGGCGTATATTTTTTGAGATTATTTATTAAGTTTCCCCATTAAAACCGGAAGATTTTCTCATCAACAATATTTGACTTTTTTTCAAGAACCTCGTGACAGAAAGTGGTAACCCATTATTTAAATTTATATATTTTAATGAGCTATTCGCCTGAGGTGATGTGTTTTTTAATGTGTATCTACATCCAAAACAAATATCAGATTCATTGCCGACGGAAAACCACCAATTTTCTTTCAACGACAAAAATTAAAAAAATCAATCTCTAACTTACCTTGAGTTTCAAATCAAAAGAACAACTATCACAAACTGATTTGAGTCTGAGAACACGTCCAGGTCTTATCGAATCTGGTCATTGAAAATGCGGTAAATAATATAAAATTATTACAATGGCCGGCAATAAAAATCCATCCATACGATTCGATAAAATGAAAAAATCCAAGTAAAAATACCATAAATTGCTGTCTGAATTGCCCTCGAGGGTAAATAAAAAGCAAAAATGTTCGATATCGAAACTATATATCGCAGATATCATTTTATGATCCATACATTCCATAATATCCAATATTTTTGACAAACGAAGTATAAACCTGGCCAGTTGAAAATTGTGGTGGACAGTTTACAAATTACTTTCCATTCGCAATGAGGTGTTTTTCTACGACCACAACCATAGCCCTTGTGGTGGCTGTGGTACTCTCCAGCTCCCTTACAACGGAGGCCCTTAGGGTGCACAAGGGATTTGCCGATTTGCCCAAAAGAGTTGAAGATTTGGAACGCAGCCGGGTAAAAATTGAATCGCGTATTGTTGGTGGTGAAATTGCTGCCGATGGTTCGGCTCCCTGGCAAGTGACCATACAGAATCAATATGGCAACCATTACTGTGGTGGTGTCATCATCGGTGATAAACATGTTTTGACCGCTGCCAGTTGTGTGGCGGGCCAACAGAAACGCAACATCAAGGTGATCACCAGCACCAATGACTGGATGGGCGAAGCCTGGATGTATGAAGTCGAGGAGGTCTATACTCATTGCAATTTCGATAAGCCACTCTATCACAACGACATTGCCCTGCTAACCTTGGCCACCTATGTGCTGTATGATGAGAAGACCCAAAACATAACTCTGTCCCAATTGGATGAGCTGAAGGAAGGTGATGTGGTTACCATGACCGGCTGGGGTAATACGGAGGTGGGTCAGAGTTATTTCCCCTCGGATTTGAAGAAATTATCGGGTGTCGTTATTAGCAACGAGGAGTGCAAACGTATCTATGGCAAATATGCCGATGATGTTGATGAGGGTCATGTTTGTGTCCAGCCACCTCAGGGATCGGGAGCCTGCCATGGTGATACTGGCGGCCCCTTGGTTGATGCCAAGGGTCGTTTGGTCGGCATCGGTAATTGGGGTGTACCCTGCGGCTATGGTTTCCCCGATGTCTTTGCCAAGGTTTCGTTCTACAACGATTGGATTCGAACTTTCATTCAGGGTTGCGCCAATGCTCCATGAGGTGGAATTTCGTGAATTTGGAAATAATTTTCAGTTGTTTTAAATTATTTGTTATTTTGGGAGTTGGTAATAAATGGCGAAATGTGTGTTTCTGTTTATCTTTTGAGAGATTTTATTTTCGATGAGAGGTTACAATGGTTTGTATGGGGGTCTGAAACAGACATTTTCATGGAAGAAAATCTAGATCACTAAACAAATGATTAGAAAATAATGGGTTCCTAACCAATTTTTAGTCATAGGAACTACTTACCAATCATCTTACTAACTCATTACTATAACGGGGGTATCATTAAATGTCCACAAAAAGGTAAAAAGCTTTGGTTCTTTTATTAGAGAATTTGGAGAAAAAGTCGAAAATGAAACTCGTTCGAATCCGAGTGAGATTATTTCTGAGAATGACCAAGGAAATCGAAGAAACTCTGTTTTTCTATGTCTCAATGTGAGCAAGTATGCTTTGCTGGTTTTCGAGTCAGAGTAAAATTCGCTCGAAATCAGAGCATGCTTTACCTACTCTTCTATATTTTATTATACCTTGTCTAAATATGTGTTTTTTTTTTTAACCGACAGCTGCTAAGTTGTAGCCCATCTGCCTTTTGGCCTTTACAATATTAAAACCTGTTTGCCAGCTAGGAATGACTCGATTTCACTCTAAGAGTAATTTTTTACTCTTTTTCGAACATTTTGACTCCCACACTAATTTTTCAAACACGAACATTCCCGCACTCCCACATAACAACAAAAGAGTAGGACTAAACTTCTTGTAAAACACATCTTCTCAGGGAGTCCCACTTTCAAGTTCTCTCAATTCTGTTACTCTCTGAGCACAGTATTTTTCAATGGTTCTGATTTTGTGAATGTCGTACTATTGAAGCATATCTGCTCGCGAGTAGAATCAAGTAAAGCTGAGCTCAGATTAAAAGTCAACTGAAGAAGGAGAAAATATTGTATTTGAGGTGAGTTTATGTGACATTTTCGCTGCCACGAGGCAGTCATATCTACTTACAAATCAACCTGCGGGACATGATACCCCAAAAAAAGTAGTTATTCTTCGGTCACAAAAAATTGAAAAATAATGTGTTCTTTTGCTTTGAAGTTTTATTAAAAACAGGTTAAAAAGTATTGGTCGGTTTTGCCGACAGATGTATACCCTCAGCCAATTTTCGGTTTTTTAAATATAGTTTGACTTCTATTATGATTATTCAAATTGTTGAATCAATATTGATCATTTCGTATCGGACCTAAATAAATATGATGTGCAGGGTAAGATGAAAAAACAGCAACCAACTTCAGACTGCTGTCATTTCTAAGCCACCCGTCCGACAGCTGTTAAAATTATTCCAGTGACAGCTCATTGTATTGTTTACAAACGTAAGCATTTTGGTGAGAATTTTCCAGAAAAAAAAATTATTCGTAATGGACTTCAAGCGTGATAGTGTGATTTCTTTATGTTTGACTGGAAAACCGCAAGTGGCTATCGTTAGAGCACTCCAGCATTTAAATGTGAATAAATCTTTTGTGTCTCGTAGCATCGCTCGTTACCGTGATACTGGTAGCGTAGCCCGACGTCAAGGAAGTGGAAGGAAGAAAATAGCAACATCAGGAGAAATAATTCGAAAAGTAAAGAAGCGACTTGATCGAAACCCGCGTCACAGTGGCCGAAAAATGGCTCGTGAGCTGAATATATCGCAATATTCCATTCACCAAATATTGAAAAATAAGTTCGGGGTAAAGCCATTAAAAATTCCGAAAAGTGCAAGAACTTACATAGCAACCGAATGAAAATAGACTCAAATGAGCTAAAGAGTTGCTTCAATTGGCCGAAAGTGGTGAACTGTCGAATTTGGTTTTCTCCGATGAGAAAACATTCGTTGTCCAGAAGTTTGTAAACGAATAAAATGAACGTGTTTACTTGCCAAAGAGGTGCACCTTCGGTTGGCCACCAGAACTCAAGCGCCGGACATGGTGATGGTGTGGGCCGCCATAACAGCCAATGGTCGCTCTCCACTCGACAGTGGCATCAAAATAAATCAGAATAAATGCCGAATTTTTTTAACGCGAAAATATTCTAGAGGGTGTATTAAAGCCTTGGGCACGCCACCATTTTGGTCGCAGACCTTGGACATTCCAACAAGACTCTGCACCATCGCACTCAGCACGCGCCACCCAAGTATGATTACGAAATGAGGTTCCTCGCTTCATTTTCAGCGCACAAAGAATCACCACCAAAATCTCCGGATACCAATCCGTTTGACTATTGTGTCTGGAGTATTTTGGTAAGCAAGGTTGGCATTAAAAAATACCAAAGTGTCGATCACCTCAAGCAAGCGCTTCACTGCGAATGGGCCAAAATACCCCAGAGCAATATTCGGCAGCGTGTGATGGTTAAATTGGGCATTTGAAGGCAATAATTCGTGCCAAAGGTGACTAATTCGAACATGTCTAAACTTATTCTATAATTTGATGGTATTTCCGACATTTTCATTCAATTAAATTTAAAAAAAAATGTATCACCCTACATAATCTCTTATCTCACTCGGCATAAAATTTTATGTCACTTTAACGATGTCAGTCCGTCTGTCCCTCTATGGAAATCGCACTATCTTCCGAAGGAAATGAAGTACATTGATAAAATTTTACTCAAATGTATATTAAGTCTGCAGGACTTTTGGTATTGAAAATGGGTCATGTAGGTCCACGTTTTGACATAGCCCCCGTATAATGGTATCTTCCGATATTTGGTATTTTTATGATTTCAGCGACATTATTCACCGGAATTGTTTCAAATTTGGTATTTGAAGTTGGTAATGGATACTACAGCCTAAGAGAGAAAATTGTGTGTGCAGGTTCACGTCTTCGTATAGCTCCCATATAGCGGTACCTCCCGATATTCGGTATTTTAATGATTTTAGCTACATTATTCACCGGAATCGCTTTAAATTTGGTATTTGAAGTTGGTAATGGATACTACAGCCTATGACAGAAAATTGTCTGCACAGGTCCACGTTTTGTTATAGCCCCATATAATAGTACCTCCCTATTCTGTGAAGTGGAAGTTATGGCCATTTAAAAAATATTCAATAACGCATGCCTAAAGCTGTAAAGAAAACTTAAAGTCTGGCGGGCCGACTTTATGATACCCTACACCACTTTGCTAATTTAGTAGAGCTGCGCATAATAACTAACTAAATATGCCAAAGCCGAAATTCGGACTTGTATTGCCCATTTGGTGCACAATTAATTTTAAATCGGATAAAAATATATATGGGAGCTATATCCAAATCGGAACCGATCTCGATAAAATTTGGCAAAGATATTTCTGAGCTGTATTTGATATATTTCCCTGAATATCATTGTTACGGAGTGCATATTACGGCTGTTGGTAACAAATATGACAAATCGGATGAACAATATATATGGGAGCTATAGCTATATCTGAACCGATCTTCAAATGCAAATTTAACATACTTGTTTCTAGACTCAATTTGGTCGTAAGTTCCGAATTCCATCCCATTTGGGCAAATATTAGACGTTTGGTGCACAATCAAAAGTAAATCGGACGAAGTTATATATGGGAGCTATATCCAAATCTGAACCGATCTCGATAAAATTTAGCAAATGTATTTCTTAGCTGTATTTGATATATTTCCCCAAATATTGTTGTTACAGAGTGCATATTACGGCTGCGGAGGACAAAAATAACAAATCGCATAAACAATATATATGGGAGCTATTGATATATCTGAACCGATTTCGATCAAATTTGGCATACTTATTTTCATGCCTAATTTGGTTGTATGTGCAAAATTCCATACTATTCGTTTGGTGCACAATAAAAAGCAAATCGGACGAAGATATATATGGGAGCTATATCTAAATTTTGACCGATTATCTCCAATTTCAATTGGGTTCGTCCTTGGGCCAAACAAATGATTTGTGCAAAATTTCATCTGGATCGGGCAATAAATGCGACCAGTACTTTGTTTACAAAAATACATGGACAGACGGACGGACGGACGGAAATGCATAAATCGACTCAGAATGTGATTCTATGCAGATCATCAAAAGGAACTATGAGTCTATCTCGTTTATTTTTGCCTGTTACAAACAAATGCACAAAGACATAATACCCTGACCACCTTGTGGTGTAGGGTATAAAAACGCTGAAAACTCAATATTTAAGGAGTTATGGCCATGTTATCCGAAGGAGTATCGGTCTATTACCCATTTTTGAACTAAGTTTGATCATAATATAAAGATGTACCATATTTGGACTAAATCGGTTATCGAGCATACCAGCCAGACAGAGAGGCGTAAAGACATCGCTAGATCGACTCCAAATGTCCTGAAACTAATTTGGTCCAAAGAGAGCTGGGGTCTTAAACCGTTATTTCGATGAGGCACATTTTGGTCGTATCGAATGATATATACCCTCTCTAGCCATATGGCTGAGGGAAACAAAAAAAAAACCCAGGAGTGACTTCTATTTCCAAATTTGAGAATTCAAGCTCGATCCGTCTGTCCAATACAAATGGTACGATATTTAGTACCTTTTACAACTTTTTCTAATATTCCAGCACGAAGTTCCAAAATGATTTTCTCTGCTCCTTTTGTTTATTATCGACAAACCTACAGAGCTCTAGGATCTCCAAATCCCTTAATATGAACGCTATCACCATACGTAACCTTTTGTGCTTTTCGTACACTTATATGACGAGTTTTGAAAAACCCAGGCTTATGTCACACCTCCATCTTATAGTTGGCCCTCATCCAATATTTTAAGATTCTATTTTAAGCCATTTTATCTGGGTGTTGATTAATAAGTCAGTCAGTTGTCAGTCACTCAATCATATACTTACTGACCTTCAAATTAAACTAATAATTTTTTTAATTAAATAATTTATATAATATTTATTAAATATATATTTATTTTAGTTTTGGTATGAAAGCACATTAAATTTTAAAGTTCTGCCTTAAAACTATTTGTTCGTTATGGCCTTCACTCCATTACGAGACTCTCTCTTCTAACAACTACCACTTCCCGCCATATTGGTCAAAATCCAATCATGATAATAGGCAACACTGGCGAATACATCAGGATATCCGGCGGCACAGGGTTGACCCCAGTTGACAATGCCCACCAAGACCTTGTTGACGGCATCGTAGAGTGGACCACCGGAATCGTTGTGGCACGAACCCTTGCCATTGCTGGTGTCGGTGCAAATATTTCCCTGGCCCAGCCATTCAGCTTTTCTCACAGCCCCGGAACATTTCTCATGTTCCATAAAATCGAGTTCGGCACTTTGTAAGATATCGGGAGTACGGCCCCACAATTTGGTGCTGCCCCAGCCGGACAGTACTAATTTGTCACCCTGCTTCAGAAGATTGCTGGTGGCCAGTTCCACAGGCTTTGTTTTTTCATTGTAGACTATGGGCTTGGCCAGTTTGATGAGGGCAATGTCATTGTGATACATTGGCTGATCGTAGAGGCAGTGGATCTTCACATCCTCCACAAAATATTCCGCATCGGGTTTGGTCCAATTCACAGTGCCGGTAACGATTTTTAAATACTGCTTTGGCCACTCCATGCAGTGGGCGGCTGTTAAAATCCATTGGGGGGCTATAATGGAACCGCCACAGATGTGTTCACCAAATGTGTTTTGTATCGACACCTGGAAGGGTATGGCGCCCTCGGGAACATCATTGCCACCAATGACTCGTGTGTCAATTAACTGTTTGCCAATATTGGCCACACGACCCTGGGCCAGTGTGGCGAATAAGGCCACCAGGGCTATTGTTATGTTTTGGAATAATTTCATTTTAAAAACTTCGTTCTTTTTCTTTTCTTTCTTTTGGAGCTTTCTATTCTCTCCCTCACACCGTTCAGACGCAAATGTTTGCAAATATTTGCTTAACTTTTACTTTTATAGCCTTGCCGGTAATTTTCTTTTAACCACTTTGGGCTGCTTCAGCAAATTTTCAAGATAATAATGGCCCAATAAATAAATTCACCTGCTGGCCCAGATAAGCCTCGCGGGGAGGAGTGTGGCGGGTGAAGGTTACATTTTATAATGCTTGAGCCAGTTGGCAATAAAACGCTTAGCTGTTTTTGTACGGAAGTTTTTGTTTGATAACACCAGCCTGCAAAATCGGCGGCTACCTGCAAATCCTCAAGAACTTCTTCTTCCGAGTAGCTTTGAACCACCCATTGTTTAGATATGATATGGACTTGTTGTAGTCATAGTGGTGTTTGATTTGTTGTTGTTGTCGTCTAATTTTCTACGTTATTTTGTTGTCTAAGCTACTGGTAAACAATAAATTAGTCATTGGTGATTTTAATGAAATTGTGATTAACCTACCGCAGTTCTTGGGAAACCACTTCACTTCAGTCGTTGGCTGGTTTTGTTTATGTTTTTTTCCCTCTGGTTCTGTTTTGTCAACCGGCAAGGCAAAGTCCAGAGTACGAATGACTCTAGACACTGTAATAAAGCGTGATATATGATGTCTTAGTGACTAGCTATAAAGACATGAGCCTATCAGTTGTTATGGTCAAAAAAGGGTCTCAAACACATAATTGTTTATGTTTGAACGAAATCCGTATCTAGGCATTTGACATTGATCTAATGATGTCCGTCCCTTCGATGGGCTATTTGAATGGTTGGTAGATAGAAGGTAATAATCTATTTCATCCAAATTAAACATTTTCCTATCTCCCTTCCTTCTGGTACCTCCCGATCTTCATGAACAATATTTCAAAACATATCAATCAATTTTGTCGATGGCCGTATGTCACCAGCCTATAGTACGTAAGATCTTCGGATTTCATTATTATACCCTCCACCATACTATATTAATTTTGTCATTCCGTTTGTAACTCCTCGAAATACTCATGTCAGACCCAACAAAGTATATATATTCTTGATCAGCGTAAAATTCTAAGACGATTTACCCATGTCCGTCTGTCTGTCTGTGTGTCTGCCTGTTGTAATCACGCTATTTTTCGAACAAATTGAGATAGAAGGCTAAAATTTTGCACACATGTATATTTTGCCAGTAGGCAGGTTAAGTTCGTTAATGGGCCATGTAGGTCTAAGTTATCATACAGCCCCCATATAACGGTACCTCCCGATATTCGGTATTTTAATGATTTTAGCGATATTGTTTATCGGAATTGTTTCAAATTTGGCATTTGAAGTTCGTAATGGATACTACTGCCTAAGACAGAAAATTATCTGTGCAGGTTCACGTCTTCGTGTAGCCCCCATATAACGGTACCCCCCGATATTCGGTATTTTAATGATTTTAGCGACATTGTTTATCGGAATCGTTTCAAATGTGGTATTTGAAGTTCGTAATAGATACTGCAGCATAAAACAGAAAATGGGCCAAATAGGTCCACATCTTCATATAGCCCCCATATACCGTAATCCCCCCCCCACGTGTAGGTCCACGTCTTCATATAGCCCCATATAACGGTACCCCCCGATATTCGGTATTTTAATGATTTTAGCGACATTGTTTATCGGAATCGTTTCAAATGTGGTATTTGAAGTTCGTAATGGACACTACATCCTAAGTCAAAAAATGAGAAATGTAGGTCCACGTCTTCATATAGCCCCATATAACGGTACCCCCCGATATTCGGTATTTTGATGATTTTAGCGACATTATTTAGCGGAATCGTTCCAAATTTGGTATTTGAAGTTCGTAATAGATACTGCAGCATAAAACAGAAAATGGGCCATATAGGTCCACATCTTCATATAGCCCCCATATACCGTAATCCCCCCCCATAATTCGGTATTTTGATGATTTTAGCGACATTATTTATCGGGATTGTTTCAAATTTCGCATGTGAAGTTCGTAATGGATACTTCAGCCAATGCCAGAAAATTGTCGGTGCAGGTCCACGTCTTCGTATAGCCCCCATATAACGGTACCCCCCATATTCGGTATTTTGATGATTTTAGCAACATTATAAACAGATTTTTCTTCAAGTTTCGCATTTAAATAGTGTAATAACTTATGACAAAAGTTGCCCATGCAGGCCCACCTCGTCGTATAAGCATTCGGTATTTTTAAGATTTTAACAGAATTTTTAACGGATTTTATTTTTTGGAAATTGCCAAATTTGTACCAATTGGTGGAGGGTATTAAAAGTTCGGCCTGGCCGAACTTACAGCTTTTTTACTTGTTCTTATTAATAATTCAAACTTTGAAGTTTGGGAAAAAACAGGTAAAAAAGCAGTCAATACGGCTGAGCATGACTTTGAATAATATCCACCATTTGGAATGATTTTGGAAATTTTCAAAAAAAAAAAAAAAATAAATAAATAAATAAAATAAAAAATAAATAATTAAAATCCGTTAAATTCTTAAAAATACCGAATATAGCCGTTATATTGGGGTCTGTACGAAGACGTGGAAGGCAACTTTTGTCATAAACCATTAAAATATTCAAATAGGGTAGTAGTCGACACTTTTAGTATTTTCGATTTTTCAATCTTTCAACATTCTGAGTGATATCTTTCAATTGCAGAAAAACAAAGTTTTTCAGATTCCAAATTTTGTTTACTTTTCGAAAAAATAAACAACAATTGAATTTGTTTTTATTAAATTGGCAAAATTTGCAATTTTACCAAAATAGTAGTATTTTGCCAGTAGTCGGTACCATTTTCCAATGCTCGGCATGTCTATTTGCCAGTAGTCGGCAAAAATATATTATTATGTATATTTTTTTATTTCAAATAGTATAAAATAATGGTGTATTACTAATTCACAGAATTTGAAATTAATTTCGTTAGTGTTTATTTAATTATCATTCTAAACCAAATATAGGTAGAAAATCAAGAATACACCCAGAGAAAAAATGACAACATCCGTGTATGAAACGACCACATCCGTGTATGATAGTGTATCAACCACGTTTGGTATCAAAATGAGCACGCCGTTGTCATTTTGACACCGAGATTTTGGCAACGGTTTCAACAACAGACGTGCATGAAATGAGCACATACGTGGTCATTTCGAGCACGCCCCGTTGTCAGATTGTCAACGCTTCGTTGTCAGATTGTCAACGCTCCGTTGTCGGATTGTCAACGTCCGTTGTCAGATTGAAACCAATGGTGGTCATTTTTTTTGATATCCGTTCCTTTCCCATTTTATACCCTTAGTAAAAGAAACGAAATTTTTTTAAATTTTTAATGAACGAAACCAATTACATAAATTCAATATAAATACATTCAATATAAATACATATTTAATTTAACAAAACAATTTGAATTACATATATTTAATGTATAGAAACAAATTAAATTAACTTTAATCTGAAATAAACTTTTCCATTATTCATAGGATATAAGTAAAATGCCATACATAAATATTTGACTCATGGCTACTTACCAATTCTGAAACTCTTGCATCGGACAACTTCGGCCATTTTTTTATATCTCTTTGCCGTATGTTAAAAGATCTTTTCCATTTTTTGCAGATCGATCCCCAATCATTACATTCTCTTAGTAAGGAAGCTTTCAATGAATCTCAACTAATTCATTAATTTCGGGAACATCTTTGTTACAAAAATTAGGAGACGTGTGAGTTGCTGCTTTGCTTGTGCTAGGTTCGGAAATCAAAAGCTTTATTCTTTTGGGCTTCTTGTTTCTATACTTGGCATAAAGTTTTCCGCTTGCGTCGTTCTGCGTTGTTGTTGAAATGTAATAATAATCCTAAAAATAAAGACATATTATAAGTTAAGAAACTACATAATCAGATACGTTGCTTATATTGTTAATCTTACCCTCATTTCGTTTTCAAGAGGAAAAACGGAACAAATTTCGTCCAATATGCGCATATAGTCTTGAGTGTAAAGAGCAACATTGTTGGTTAAAATATCTTCAATAATTATATTAATTATATCATTTCTTTGCTCGTCACTTAATTTCTTATTAACGCTTCTACATTCAAGCGTAGGTTCCCCTTCGAGGTATGTGTTAACAATTCCGTTAGATCCTATATTAATTAAAAAACTACATTAACTATGCTTACACAAATATTACTCTTACTTTACCTCTGACAAAATTCCTTTGGCTTTTGAGCAGTTCGAACCTGTAGTGTCGGGAGTACCAGGAGTACTTGTAGGTGTCTCGTTGCGTTTCCACCATTCACCTATTTTAAACTGACATAGTTTCGTCATCAATCCCGAGCTATTGTTATGACAATATTAATACTGAGTTCAACACTGTAATACAAATAATACGTACCTCTCGTTTTTTCCAAGCAAAGAGCTTTTCTCAGAATTCAACACGCAGTCCCAATGGTGGCACTGCTTCCTTTAAATCTTCTTTTTTCGCAAACTGCGAAATGATACATGTGATGCTAAAAGAACAAAAAAGAAAATTCTATGTTAATTACCCTGCTTAACTGAAAACTTCATTTTTATTTACTTACCTTTTAATTGTTCAAAAAGAGACTACATATTTATTCCTTTTAAGAACTCCCTTAACATATAATCGTCCTCATTGTTTTCCGCATCTTGACTGCTGCAATGGCTTGTATCGCGAACCACAACAATATTGCCATCGATTTCTAACAACTCACCAATAATATTTTGAGCATCTTGCGAATTATTATTCATTTTCAATAAATTTTTGCACAATGCGTCCTTTTTCTTTCAATAACACGGAAAAATGGAAAATATGCAGCCGATTGCACACGAGTAAGAAAATGACAACGGTGGTGCATGATTCATACACGGTAGTTGCTAAAATGGCAACGATCGTGTACGATTCATGCACGTCGGTGTACAAAGTAACAACGGTGGTGCATCATTATGCAGGTGGTGGTGCATAATTCATACACGACCGGTGTCATATTGACAACGACCGTGTGTGAATCATGCACCACCGTTGTCATTTTTTACTCGTGTGTAATCGGCTGCAATTACCAATATTAAAAACCCAACGTTGTCATTTTGAGCACATCGGTGGACAAATTAAGCACGGCTGTTGTTGGTACCGAAAGTTGACCACGTCTCGGTGTCAATTTGAGCACGTTCATGTACAATTCACCAACAGCCGTTGTTGAAAAAAATAACAACGGGTCGTTGCGAAAATGACAACATACGTGCTTGATTTCGCAACGGGATTTTTCCCTCAGTGTAGTATGGTTACCTTCAGTAACGTATGGATTTTCAATTAAAATAAATAAAAAAGAAAAAAAATGTCATTCTTATATTTGTAATTTGTGAATTAATCTTTTTCCTTTGGATAGCCAACATTTTTTTTTTTTTTTCAAAAATGCCACCTCTATCTAAAACGTCAAATAGCTGATTTAAAAAATCAACTTAATTTTGAAAAGTTGGTCAAAAAGCACAAATAAAAGCAACTGCCGACTCAAATTTTTTTTTTTTTGAGTAGTTTTTAGTTTTTAATACTTTTCTCAAGTTTTGGTGAAATGGGTCAAAAATTATATTTTTCTAGTAATCGGCACCCCCTGTCGACTACTGTCAAATCTCTTTTTTTCTGTTCCTAATGTCGGCATTAAATAATATAACAGAAAAATGCTTGATTTGTATGTTTTTAAGTTATAAAATTATCTTTAGACTGTCATTAACTATTATAAAATATTTCTGATTCCAAAAGTATTAAATTTAATTTATTTAAATCGATTATTAAGTTGACGCCACCACTATTTTTTTCTTTACAAACAAGCATGAGTTGGAAGACACTCACTGACGAAAAACGTTATTCTCTCGTAATAAATGATCGGAGGTCATTGTTTTTTTTTTACAGAAAGAGAGCAGAGAACCCTGTTGACGATTTTTGCAATTATTTCATTATATGGTCAATTTTATTCTTAGTTATTAAAGATTAAATTTCAAAACTGCCGACTACTGGGACATGCCGAACTTAGGGGCACTTACCCTACGAAACTTCAAAAAAAAAAAAAATAAATAAATAAATCCCGTGAATAATGTAGCTAAAATTATCAAAATAACGAATTAAGGGAGGAACTGTTATATCAGGGCTATACAAAGACATAGACAATTTTCTGTCACAGGCTGTAGTATCTATTAGGAACTTCAAATACGAAATTTCAAACAATTTCTTTTTTCTAAGTTCTCTGCTAATTTTGTTTATGAATTTATTGTTTTGAAAAATGAAAACAAAATATTTTCAAAACCAATGATTGGAAGACACGTACATTGCGGCTCGAGCATTAAAGCTATTAACCAGTTAAGCCATGAAATTGCAAGATTGAACAGTTTGATCATATTTTGAGAGAATATCCAGGCATTTCATTCATTTTTCGCGCTATTAAAAAATATTAAAAAAAAAAATAAAAATGAGGAAAAATATGAAAACTAATTTTTGCATATAACTTGAAATGAGAAAGCGGACATAGCCTCAGAACTATATTTCTGCAGTTTTATGAAGCTGCTCTACTTCCTTATTGTACCATGGATGTGCCCATATATGGGGGCTATACGAAGACCTGGACCTGGTCAGATGAAAAAACTACAACCAACTTCAGACTGCTGTCATTTCTAAGCCACAAGTCCGACAGCTGTTAAAATTATTCCAGTGACAGCTGATTATATTGTTTACGAGCGTTCAAAAGCATTTTGGTAAGAATTTTCCAGAAAAAAAAAAGTTATTCGTGATGGAATTCAAGCGGGATAGTGTGATTTCTTTATATTTGGCTGGAAAATCACAAGTGGCTTTCGTTTGAGCTCTCCAGCATTTAAATGTGAATAAATCTTTTGTGTCTCGTACCATCCCTCGTTACCGTGATACTGGTAGGGTAGCCCGACGTCAAGGAAGTGGACGGAAGAAAACAGCAACATTAGCAGAACTGGTTCGAAAAGTAAAAAAGCGACTTGATCGATCCCCGCGTTGCAGTGGCCAAAAAATGGCTCGTGAGCTGAACATATCGTAATATTCCATTCGGCAAATATTGAAAAATGAGCTCGGGGTAAATCCATTTGAATTCTAAAAGGTGCAAGAACTTACAGTTGCTTCGCTTGGCCGAAAGTGATGAACTGCCGAATTTGCCGAACATTCGGCCAGCGTGTGACGGTTTCATTGGCCGTTTGAAGGCCATAATTGGTGCCAGAGGTGACCAATTCGGATAAATCTAAAATTTGATGCTTTTACCGACATTTTTTGCTTTCCTTCAATAAAATTAAAAAAAAAATTATGGCGTTTGCCTTTGTTGCAGTTTTTTATCTCACCCTGTAATCATCAGTATAGGACCATTTTACCAGTGTACAAAAAAAGGTCGTATTGTCCATGTTCGAATATAATATATCCTTTTTCCGCACTCCCTGGTAACAGCCAGACATGTCTAGATCAGCACAATTCACTACATCTTACACACAATCATAGTTTTGTATATCGTAGTGGGTGACTAGCCCTGGTCTAGATCAATGCTGAGCACGAAGATGCAAGCGTCCAATTTCTTTCAGTTTTTTTTTTAACAACCAAAGTCTATGTATTATTCAAATTATTTTTTTATTTTTTAAAAATAAGTTTTGATAAAAATTTTAGACAACATTTGTGTTTGAAAAAAGTCGAAAAAAATCTCTTAAACCATCTCTTTATATTATTTTGCTCAGCTATGATCTAGATATACTCCAAATATACCAATTTATCCAAAAAGAAATGAAGTTTAACTCCGTGGTTTCGATGATACACATTTTGTCCGTATTGAAAGAAGAACACCCTAAGGTTCCCAACTTTTTCAAGTTGAGCTTAGCAACTCAGTTGCCTAATATTATTACTCTTGGAATTCCTATGCCCAGACCATGACTTCACAATTTATTCCCATTCTAAAAAAACGTAATATTTTTTTTAAATTTGTAATTTTTTAATGAATCAATGATTTTCAAAGGTACAGGATACAAAAACATAAATGCATTTGTGTGCTTGTGTGTGTGTGTGTTTGTATGAACATTAACTTAAAACTAAGTCTATAGAAAAAAATATAACAACCAGATTAATGTCATCGCACTTTAGACGACATGGCAGGACAACGGTTTAGGGTACACCTAAAGTGGATGAATCAATCATCTTTAACAGCTTTCATAACTAACTAAATAACATTAGGGGATGGGGGGGTGGACTAACAACGAAGATCTTCTAGAACTGATTTGAAGGTGGCAAATAGCCTCCATTTGTGGCAGCAGCTGTCTGCAGGGCATTCACCAACTGTTGCTCGTCGTATTGGACAGGCTGGGTTTGTTGGACGCCATAATCACCACTGGCTTGTTGCTCCTGTTGTTGTTGCTGCAATTTGACTTCTTCTTCATCTTCTTCCTCGGCCGAGGCATCCAAAGAACCAATAACAGAAGTACTGGGAGCAACACCTTCATCGGTGATGGTGGTGGAACCTCCCAAGCTATCGTATTGGGATTGAATTTGACGCTGGGCATTGGCAGCTTCTTCGGGAGTGCGGTATTTGATGAAGAACACTTCGGGTTTGTTGATGTGTTGAGGAGCTTCTTGAATGGCATCTTGCAAATCGGCAGCCGAAGTTTTCTTGGCCAAAACATAGACCACTGTCTTTTCTTCTTTGAGAGCCTTGGCCAGGTTAAGGGCAGCAGCCTTGTTCGTTTGGCTGGGTGTCTTAACGAACAGGACATTGTAGTGTTTGCGTGGTTGTTGTTGCAACTGGGCCAATTCTTCATCGATTTCGGCCTGGGTTTCTTCGGGCGCCGAGTGGATGAAGAAGTTCTTGGTTACAATTGGTTTCTTGACCATACGCTGGCGAGGACGATAACGACGCATAGGTTTCGAGGCAACGGCAGGTTGGAAATTGAAATTCATTGGGAAATCGGCAGGCATGGGGAAACGCATGACAACGTTTTGTTGTTGTTGGGCAGAGGGTACCACATAACGTTGCGACTGGCCAAGGGATTGGTAGCCAAGTTGTTGCTGTTGTTGTGGTAGATATTGTTGGCTGGGTTTGAGTATGGAGGCTGGAATGAGGCTCTGTTGCTGTCCATAGTAACCGGAGTTGCCGTTGTAGTTGTAGCTCGATTTGAGGCTAACATCGGCCGAGGCCAAAGCCAGGGTGGAGGCTGCCAAAAATGTCTGCAATGAAGATGGTGAAAAGGGGGTGGAAATTAATAAATGGTTATCTTTTGTGGTGAATAAAATATATTCTATTCTATTCTTTCGCTGAGGTGAAAAAGTAATCCATTTTCGATATCAAAGTTTGTGGTTAATAAAAATGAGGTGAAAACCTATATGATATAATTTTCCATGGAGATCGTGGTGAAAATATTCAAGAAAGAGAAGTTGGTATATTCAATGTGGTAAATGAATTGCCCGCCATGGTGAGCAAATAATACATAATTTCACTATGGACTGGAGTGCACTTGATAAGGTGGTGAAATTTCAGAAACAATGCTAACTGATTTATCTGACGTGGTAGATTCACTTTTTTCCCTTGTAAGAGTTGAAATTGGCTGTAGTGTTCAAAAATGTCCTATCGTTGTAAAATTATCAAGTAGTGTGGTGAATTAATTATTTCCTTTGAGGTGAATTAATTTTTCCCCTGTATAAACTATCTCCTTCGGATCAACAAAACTGTATTGAATGAATTTCATAGTGTGGTGGATTCCTATGAGCCGTGGTGACTTATTTATCCGACATGGCGAATAAATTATTCACTTCTTTGTACACCACTATGAGTAAATTTTTTTTTTTTGAATGAACTGTGGTGAATACTTAAATCTAGTGGTGAATAAAAAGTGTCATATGTATGTATGTGTGAAATTTGAAGACTGTTGAAAGTTTTCTGTGAGCGCTTTGTTTTCCAAAATCTTCAACCCTATGAGGGACAGGTAGCAAATGAAATGGTCTGATCTTTACCATATTTATAACAGATCTTGTGTTGATGGAAATATTTAGATGTACCAAGTCTTGAATGGAATCGGATGTTAATTTCGCTTTTTATGAGCTCAATGGATATTCGACCTTTCGTGGGGGAGGTATCAGAAGGAGTGGACTGATATATACATATTAACACCAGACCTTGGGCTAATAAAATTATTGGGATGTGTGAAATTTGAAGACAATCGGATTCCTACATCACATTTTATAAGATTTGTAATTATTCAAAATTTGGACCCTTTGTGGGGGAGGTCCCTGGTGGAGTAGACCGATATTGTCCATTTTCGCACTAGCACTGATGAAAATATTAGGATTTCCAAAGTTGGAGTAAAATCGGATTATCCTTTCTCTTTCTGTGCTTAATTTTTTTTTGAAAATGTCGACCTTTTGTGTGGGAGTTACCAGAAGGAGTGGACCGATACATTCCATTTTCACACCAGTCCTTGGCTTAATATAATTATTGGGATGTGTGAAATTTGAAGACAATCAGGCTCTTACAGCACATTTTATAAGATATGTAATTATTCAAAATTTTGACCCTTTGTGGGGGAGGTTCCTGATGGAGTGGACTGATATTGTCCATTTTTGCACCTGACCTAGCACTGATGAAAATGTTAGGATTCGCAATCTTTTCTCTTTTGTGCAATAAATTATTTTCTTTGAAAATTTTGACATTTTGTGTGGGAGGTACCAGAAGGAGTGGACCGATATTGTCCATCTCCGAACTCGATCTAATTTTAAGAACATTATTACGATGTACCAACTTTGGACCAAATCGGATAATCCCTTCAAGAGTTATCGTGCGCACCAGCCAGCCAGACAGGCGGATGAACATCGCTAGATAGACTCCAAATGTCCTGAAACGAATTTGGTCCAAAGAGACCTAGGGTCTAAAACCGTTATTTCGATGATAAATCATAAGAAATGGTGAAATATAATTGGGACGGCTGTAGGCATTGTTACCCGGAATAAATTAAAATTGAGGTGTAAATTTTCATATATGGTGAATAAAATAGTGGTAGAATATTAAACACAATGTCGGTAAAATGATCTGTAGAGGTGAATAATTCAACTGTAGTGAGCCTAGTTATTGAAACTGTCAGAAATATTCTCCTTGGTTTTTAAATTATTGACCGTGAGGAAGGGTGCTGAACAAATTATCAACTGTGGTGAATATATTACTCACAACATCATTTCATTGACAATTTTCGAGCAAATGATCTGCTGTGGTGAAAAAGTCAATTGTGGTGGATTACTTATTGAAAGTGGCGGATTTTTGGTTTTTGGTTTTCAAATTATTGACCGTAAAAATATCATCAATTGTGGTGAATTTATTTCTGACAACGTCGGAGCTGTATAGTGAAAGTGCTGAGTAAATTATCCACTGTGGTAAATAAATTACTAACAGAATTGGCTGTGTTATTAGCTGTGGTAAATACATTTTCTATTGAAGTTTGTTGTCATTCACTGTGGTGAAGTTAATTTAGGACTGTGGTGAATAATATCTTAACGTCGCTAATGTTATATTGAAATGCTACTATCCATAATACGACCCAATTAATAATTATTGTGACTAATTTAATGGCTGTGGAGTGGATTGCCAAGTGTGGTGAATAAATTATATAATTGTGAATAAAATAATGGAAAATCCAAAGGAAGGAATATTGTAGCTTAAACATTTTCAAATATAGATAAAAAGTTGAAAAAAGTATTCATGTTAATTGTTATTTAAAGACGAGTGTTGAATAAACTCTTCTCGGTGGTTTAAAAGTGGTATAGTGGACAAGTTTTCTTGTATGGGAAAAAGATCTGGCATTACTGTGGTGAATTTAATGTTCATGCAACGAAAATATTCGTTAATTGTAGTGGGGTAGTTATTTTTCATAGAAGTGTGGTGAATGAATTATTTTCAGTGATTTAAAATGGTGTGTGAATAAATTCATAAAAGTGGTGAATATACTATACGCCTCTATGAATCGAAAATTCACTAGATTTTTAATGAAAAGAACAATTTTTTCCTTCTATGGACTGTGGTGAATTTAATATTCAGGTTCCGAAAATATAATTTGCGCTAGTGGTGTAATTGTTATTTTTAGAAGTGTGGTGAATAAATTATTTTCACTACTTTAAAATTGGTGTGGGTGAATAATTTCATGACAGTGGTGAATTTTATATTTAGGTTCCGAAAATATTATTTTTTTTATTATTTTTGTCCCGGTGGTGAGAAATTTAGAGTTTGGAGGAATTTTCTGATCCAGAAACCCACACTGTATCCAAAAATTTTATTGAAGGACTGATTGGCCTTGAGATCACTTTATATTCAACACAATCAAAGGTTTCAAATTTTTTTTCACTTCAGATGACATAGGTTTCTCTCCTGGCAACGATTTTATTGTTTACACATTTTATTGTTCTTTCAATCGCAGTTTATTATTCCACTTTCATTATTTTCTATTAGAGTCTTCAGATTTTACTTATATCACTTTGATTAACAAAACACAACGTACCACAAAGATCTTCATGTTTCTGCTTAGGCTTGTAGTTTTTTAGATTAGTTAGAAAAGCTGTGTTGCTTTTTAGCTGTTGAACTGTTGCTCGATGACTGATGACCCAAACCGAATTCACATCCGCTTATATACCTAAGCAACATTGACACTGAAGACATCGCACAAAAAGTCTCAATAGCGTCAAGGGAAAGGTAACATCTGCCAAAGTTATTTCAAACTGAATAGGATGGCCCATTATTGCGAACAGTTTTGTCTTCGAGTCAAAACGAAAACAAAACGCCTGCCACAAGAGCTAATTTTTTAGATTTCAATAAAAAAAAAACCTTTTTGGAATTTTCTTCTGGCCATAGCTGCCAGCCACAATGGATTAACCCTTTCTAAAAAAAACAAACACACATTGGTGGCATTATTTGTTTTTGCTACCTCTTTTTTGTTGTTACTGTTGCTGTTTGTGGTTGTTAAACAATTAAATTGTTAATTTTCAGTTTCATATTAATTTTATTGAATGATTTCTTTATGTGTGAAATTAAACAAAGCCAACTAAAAAATTTGCATAAAGTTTTGTTTCACTTTTTTTGTGGAGAGGGGGGGGGCTAATCTGACGAAATATTTGATTTATATCACATTTTTTTCACAAAACTGAACTAAAAATGCAATCGTAAATTTTCTTTATATTTCGAGCATGGCGATATTGGGGTCAGTATTCTGTTTTATGTGCCAATAATTCATGGCTTAGAAGAATCGCCCTTTAGTTATAAAAAAAATATGGAATTCATCATCGGAGTTAATTCTGTTTTGACATCGTCAACGTCTTTGTGAATGGAAGCCATAATAAAATTGTTTAATTAATGAGAATTCTTTATCGCATATTGCTGACAATATATCAGATTAAGAGTCATTAAAAATCCATTAAAAATGTGTGAAATACATATAGCAGCGATAAATGTGACAAATAATGTTTTATACCATCAGTCCTATGGCTACATTGGTTAAATGTCATTTTAGGGGGCCAAACTGTTTTTCATGGAAATTTCGATTTCTATTGTGGATCCATGTTCATTTCAGGACATTTGGGGTCGATCTGGCTCTGTTGCATCTGAGTCAGTCAAGGGATAAAATAGAACATCAACCAAATTTCGATCGACATGAATTATACTCACATTTTATAATTAAAACTGTTATAGAGAGATATTCGTAAAATTCGATATCCAAATGCGTCTACCGAAATTTTTGATTATATCAAGAAAATTATATCGAAATTGCCAGCATTTGGCCTCTAACTTCCCACATCGTAATATATTTGTCTAACTTAGATGGAAAATAAACCAGTAAGGAAAGGTCAAAGTCGGACAGGGCCGACTATATAAATATATATAAAAAAACATTTAATTCGGTTGGGCCGAACTTTCAATACCCTCCACCTTAGGGTAGAGACAGGAGACATTTTTATATATAGACATATCGGAATTCAAAAATATACCAGTAAGACCGTCTGCATAATGCAGTTAAATTTATCAAAAAACCATCAAGTGAGTGAGGTCGGGCTAGAACCCATTATGAACTGCAAATACAAATTTTTATAAAAATATCGAATATCGGGAGGTACCGGTGCATGGGGTCTATACCAAAACGTGGAAACTATACGTTCAATGATTCGCCACACGAACAAGAACCCATTATACCCTACAAATACCAATTTGTTGACAAATCCGTAATAAAATGTGGAAAAATCATCAAAACACCGAATATTGGGAGGTACCGTTATATGGGTGCTATACCAAACCGTGGACCTATACATAAAATTCGCCACACGAGCTAAAAACCAATATGACACACAAATACCAATTTTTAGACAAATCCGTGAAAAAATGTGGCGAAAATCATCAAAATACAGAATATCGGAAGGTACTTTTATATGGCGGCTATACCAAAACGTGGACCGATATATCTCATTTTTATTACCAACCATCCTAGACACAATACAAATTGTTCTGCCAACGGCCTAGGTCAAATAACGTGGGCTGTATCGTGATTTCAACAGACATACGGACTGTCAGACGGACATCGTTAAATCGACATAGAATTTTATGCTGATTATGAATATATATACTTTATGGGGTCTACGATGAATATTACAAACGGAATGACAAAGTTAATATACCCTTATTTCCAAAGTGGAGGGTATAAAAAATTTTATTGGGAATTTATGTGAAGTAGATCTTACCAATTATGAACCTTATTTAAATGCATACCGTAGCTTAAGAGTAGCCACAATTGGGGAACTCTGAATCGATTTTCAAAAAATTTGGCCCGGGCTTTTGTACCTCTAGTACCAAAAACAATGCCGTATAGTGCATGATATGACTTCGATAAGAATTATATTAAAGAATATTTAGTGGAGAAAAAGATAAAACCGACCGAGCTCCGCCTAATGGTAAAATTTGGTTGAAAATGGAAATATATATTCAATTTGGGCTGATATAACACATATGGTGAGCAATAACCGTAAAATCGGATGAAGATGTATATCGAAGCTATATGAAATTCTGAACCGATCTCGTTAAAATTTGGCCACGGTATTTTGGACCTGTATTTGATGTCCTGTATCAAATAGCAGTGTTGTGGAGTGCATATAACGCATGTGAGGGACTTTTTACATTTGTTTTTAAATTTTATTGAATGAACGCAAAAAATGTCGGAAATAGCATCAAATTTTAGAATAAGTTTAGATTTGTTCGAATTGGTCACCTTTGGCACGAATTATGGCCTTCAAACGGCCAATTAAAAACCGTCACCCGTTGCCCGAATGTTGCTCTGCCTCGAAGCGATTGCATTAGGTTATCGATACTTTTGTTTTTTTTTTTTAGTGCCAACCTTGCTTTCCAAAATACTCCAGACACAATTGTCCAACGGATTGTTATCCCGAGATTTTGCGCTGGAAATAAAGCGAGAAACCTCATTTTGTAACGATTCTTGGGTGGCGCTGAGTCAAAATATTTACGTGCCTGAGGCTTTAATAAACCCTCCAGAATATTTTCTCGATAATATTCGGAAGCCATGATCGATTAATATGGCCCACACCATCACCATGGCCGGCGCTTGAATTCTGGTGGCCATCCGAAGGTGCACATTTTCAACTGACCTCTTTGGCAAGTAAACACGATCATTTTGTTTCTTCACAAACTGCTGGACAGCGAATATTTTTTCATCGGAGAAAACCAAATTCGGCAGTTCACCACTTTCGGCCAAGCGAAGCAATTCTTTAGAGTCTATTTTCTTTCTTTGGCGGTGTAAGTTCTTGCACTTTTTGGAATTTCAATGACTTTACCCCGAGCTCATTTTTCAATATTTGCCGAATGGAATATTGCGATATTTTCAGCTCACGAGCCATTTTTCAGCCACTGCGACGCGGCTTCTTTACTTTTCGAACAATTTTTGCTGATGTTGCTGTTTTCTTTCGTCTACTTCCTTGACGCAACTAGTATCACGGTTACGAGCGATGGTACGATACACAAAAGATTTATTCACATTTAAATGCTGGAGTGCTCTAACGATTGCCACATGTGGTTTTCCAGCCAAATATAAAGAAATCACACTATCACGCTTGAATTCCATCACGAATATCTTTTTTTTCTGGAAAATTCTCGCCAAGATGCTTTTGTACACTTGTAAACAATATAATGAGCTGTCACTGGAATAATTTTAACAACTGTCGGGCGAGTGGCTTAGAAATGATAGCAGTCTGAAGTTGGTTGCAGTTTATTCATCTAACCCTGTATAAAAGTCTTTGTTAAGAATTCACACATCGTAAAATCTCCCGTAAATCCTCAAATATAAGGATTCCAAGATACAAGCATTATTTTCGTCAAAAATTGTAACCCTTAAGCGAGCCATAAAACGTGGTCTCTTTGTCCTTTTTTTAAATATGGTTAAACTCCCTTAAAACGGGGTCCTAACTAGTCAAAATATTCTACAATACTAGTTGTAATAGAAGTCTACTATGAGCCCCAGAAGTTTAAATTTTACCTAAACGCCAATCAATCTATACTAATAAAATATTATAGTAATTGACTGACTGACTTAATGTTTCATCAACGCCCAGGCGCACTGGCTGAAGCTACAATCTTAACATTTGGCAGATAAGGCTGCGTACTAGGACATTCGTACTAGAACGGTACGAAAGTACTAAAAGGTACTAAATATGATACCCTTTGTATCAGTGTATTTGAAAGCTAGAACTCGTGTATTTTGAATAAGGGTGGCTGATAATGTGTGTGATGGATATAACAAAGGGTTATTGGAAATTTCAACTATAAGTGTACGAAAAGTACTAAAATGTACTATATGTACTACTATTTCGTATCATGTGAACGGTTAGAGCTAGAAACTTGACATTTGGAATGGGAATCAAGGTTGAGGAGTAGGGTCGATGTTAGGAGGTAGTTTTGTTTCAGGAGTGTGTACTCATTGATACGAAAAATACTAAACGGTACTAAATTAGATGCAATTCGAATTTGAAGGAACTGATGGAGCTGGAATACTGAAAATTCAAATTAACATCACTGGCGGAATGTAGGTAGTTTTGGAAATTCGTACTTATGTGTACTAAACGGTACTACATTTGGTACAATTTAAATTTTAGGAGAATTAACAGAGTTGGAATCCTAAAATTTGGAAATGAAATTACTTTTTCATTGTAGGACTGAGGTATGTAGGTAGTTTTGGAAATTCGTAGTTTTGTGTACTAAATTGTACTAACTTTATTACAATTTCGATTTGGGTGAACCTATAGAGCTGAAATTTTGAAATTTAGAAATAAGATTACAATTCCATTCTATGACTTAGACATGTAGATAATTTTTGGGAAATTTGTACTTATGTGTACTAAACTTAATACAATTGGGATATGTGTGAACCAATTGAGCTGGAATCCCAAAATTTAATATTAAAGTCACTGCTGTTGTCTGTGTTTAAGATATGCAGGTGGTTTTGGAAATACGTCCTATATTTGTACGAATAGTACTAAATGGAAATAAATTTGGTATTGGGTGAAGGAACAGAGTTGGAATAATCAAATTTGATATTGAAGTTACTGTTGCTGTCTGTGGATACGATGGGTGAGGTGATTTTGGAAATAGTACACATTGTA